CTCCCCCCTTCCCCCCCCCCCCCCACATTGTTACTTCCTTTATCCATGTCGAGCAAATATGTTCGGTTTATTACATACTACAGTTTGTTGAACTAACATAATTGACATAAGATGCTGTACCATTTCTTCACATTGGATAAGTAGTTATCTGCTAAAGATTTTTCAGCATTTGGATTGTTTTATATCCCTATTTGTGTATTTGAGTGTTGATCCCCAAATCTCATTCACAGCTACACGAAACAAATACAAGTTTTTTTTTTAAATGCTATAGTATTACTCTTATATAGGGATCTCAGACCCAAACCTAAACTGATATTGAAAACATATTTACTAGCCGAAACATCATACGTTAATTTTACAAAACATTTATAAGTCGTTGTCAGCATTTCTATACTAGTAAGTAAAGACAAAAAGTATCTAATCAAGATGTGACTGGACTTGGGGTATAACAAGCAATGATCATATGCATGCTCATGTTTATAGTGGTCTTTCGAGTCATCGTGTCCGTCGAACCTTTCAAGAGTTAAATTTCAGCTAAGAAATAAGATAAATGAAACACGTGATGATGGTATAGTGGCATGAGAGTTTTGAGTTGGTCTAATGAATTAAAATCATCTTCTCTAACAGTGATGACGAAACATGTTTTATAAACAAGGTCAAAATTATATATGTTTGGAAAATATGAATCATCACATTGGCGGAACCTAATAAAATGCAGATGTCAAAAACCATAATAATACAATACTACAATCCAATACTGAAGCAAAACAATGGAACAAACTACAAAATAAAGACATAGAAACCAGAAACCAGATGTAGATCATGATTAAGTAACTACATGAAACTAAACTTTATGATCATGTGCAATATTAGGCTACTAATTTCTCATAGGAAGTAATAGATAACTACTGCTCTATATAATGCCCGATTGTCAGGCCCGGTCTTGAACACATACTCAAGATACATTTGTGTGGGGCCTAAAATTTTCAAAATTTATGACTTAATTTTTTTACAGTTTTTATTGTTACTTTGTTAGGATATGCAATATAAAATGGAGACTAATCAAAAATGTAACATAACAAAATACATGTAACATAATAAATTTTAGTTATTTTTCCTTATTTTAACTACAAAAATAGAATGATAAATTTTAGAACTAACAAACTTTTACTAGTATTAAAAATATTGTAATATTTAATTCTTTAGTTATTATTTTGAGTTCATATTTTTAGTTTCGTATTGGATCCGAAATATCTGAGGACCGGCACTGCCTACTGTGCATGAGGTGGTAAATTATATTTTTCTTACAATATTTTTATAAATTGGGTGAAAGCTGAAACACACAACAAATAGAAAACTGTTGAAGGGCAAATATTTAAAATTAAAAAAGTTTTGGGGTCGTTTTGTTAGATATTACATTTTCTATGGACGTTTTTGTGAAACGTAAGGTGATAGAAGTTCTGTAGCTAATGAGAAGATAGAAACAAAACAAATAATTATATTTTGTGGTTGGCAGTCGATTATTCCATTTTCGGTAACAGTTTATTAATATTTATTTAATTACATTTTCATTTTCCTCCAACGATTACGTATCCACTGTTCCTTCTTCTTCTTCTTCTCCGGCCATCGCTTCTTCGCTGCTGCTGATCAATGGAGTCGATCCACTGTAATAGCTTCGTAAAACCTAATTTCTCACTTAACCGCACTCTTCATAGAAGAAACCTCTCTGTATTCGATCGGAGAGATGCTCCTTCTCGTCGAGGGAGGACGTTCTCGGCTGTACGGACTTCCGTAACCGCGGCGTCGACGGAAATCTCCACTAGAAACGCCTCGATCGGTAACCGGAATCCGAAAGACGCTGCGATAATGACGACGGGGATGGAGAGAGTAGGGAAATCAAGCGCCGCGCTGGAGCAGCTTGATATCGAGCGAGGCGTTTGCATCCCTTTCCGAAAGTATTCTCCAGAGACTGTATGATTGATTGGCTCTTAACGTTTTTGTCGTTTCGATTCACGAGTTTGTTTCAGTTAATTTAATTGTTTGATTCATTTATTGAGCTGGTTAAGATTGTTCTATCTTCTTTGATTTGCTTGGTAGTGTTGTATTATGTTTGTTCTATGTGTAATTATTTTTGAATTAGAGTTTAGTGATGATGTTTGGTGATTTCAGGTGAGGAGTAAAGTGCTGGAATCAAGAGGATCAGTGGTTTCTCTTGCTTCACGAGGTGTGGAGATTGTTTGGAGCCTGGGGTTGTATTGGTCTACCTTAGTGTATGATTTTTGGGTTGGGAGGGATGAGGAAGTCGTCCCGTTTCGTGCTAGGCAGCTTAGGAACCTTTTGTGTAACTTGGGGCCTTCTTTTATCAAAGCTGGACAGGTGTGTGGATGCATTTTATTGCTAGGGGATTTGGTAAATATTGGCATTAATTGGGTTATCTGATGTCTGTAGGTTCTTGCAAATAGACCTGATATCATCCGTGAAGACTACATGAACGAGCTTTGTATACTTCAAGATGACGTTCCTCCGTTTCCTAATGAGGTAAAAAATTTATCTCTTTGTTGAGTATGATGTTTTTCATGTTATCATGTGCCTTTGTGTGGTGAGGCTAAAGCTGTGGAGGGATTTCCAGGTTGCTTTCCAAATCATTGAGGAAGAGTTAGGGCAACCTCTTGAGTCCCTGTTTAGTAAGATTTCTTCAGAAACGATAGCGGCTGCAAGCTTGGGACAAGTTTATAGAGCTACTCTACGTGCCACTGGAGAGGATGTTGCTATCAAGGTTCGAAATGTTTTTTTTTTAAACTGTACCTATGGAGTTTGTCTTCGAAACTGTATAAAACTGAATTTGGTTTTGGCATTTTTTTAAATGTATATACAGGTGCAGAGACCACAGATAGAGCCCATAATCTACCGCGATCTCTTTCTTTTCCGAACCCTTGCCTCGTTCTTAAACGGCTTTAGTCTGCAGAAACTGGGTTGCAACGCAGAGCTAATAGTTGATGAATTTGGAGAAAAACTTTTGGAGGAGCTTGACTACACCTTGGTATCTAATATAATTTTCAGTTTGACTCTCTTTGCCTGAGATAATGAGTCTTTCTGTAATCCGGGTTAACCATTAAGGTCTTGTCTACAGGAAGCCAGGAATATTGAAGACTTTCTGGAGAACTTCAAAGATGACCCTACTGTCAAAATTCCTGGAGTATACAAGAATCTTTGTGGTCCGAGGGTTCTGGTAATGGAATGGATTGATGGTATTCGGTGTACTGACCCACAGGTATGACTTTGAAATAGGGGCCAACCCAAAGTAAATTCCTTTATATCCTCGTAAAAGTCATAAATAAAGTATACTATGAGTATTGACTCTTATTTATGGTGATCAGGCCATAAAGGATGCGGGAATTGATTTAAATGGATTCTTGACTGTTGGCGTGAGTGCTGCTCTAAGACAGCTTTTGGAGTTCGGATTGTTTCATGGAGATCCACATCCTGGAAATATCTTCGCAATGCAAGATGGGCGTATTGCTTACGTGGACTTTGGTAACGTTGCCGTTCTGAGTCAGGTAATTTGAGTTCAATGGTTCTAATGTATCTAGTAATCTTAACAAGTAACATATGCCTCCGTTTCATAGTGATTCTCACATCTGTATAAAGACTTTGTCACTCATAGTCTAATTAAATCCTTTCTTGCTCAGCAAAACAAGCAAATTTTGATTGATGCTGTTGTCCATGCGGTTAATGAAGACTATGGGGAGATGGCAAATGATTTCACTAGGCTCGGGTTCTTGGCCAAGGGTACCGATGTTTCTCCTATTGTTCCAGCTTTAGAAGCCATCTGGCAGAATTCTGCCGGGAAAGGACTTGCAGATTTCAATTTCCGAAGTGTTACAGGTATGTACTGTTTCAGGCATTCAGACCAGATAAATTGTTGCTCAAAAAAAAAACCAGACAAATTGTTTTTCCTTGCACATCTGAGAGAATGGGGTCATGTTTTTGTTGTTGCAGGCCAATTCAACAAGCTTGTGTACGACTTTCCCATCCGTATTCCGGAGCGGTTCTCTCTTGTTATTCGTTCTCTGCTTACGCAAGAGGGTATATGTTTCACGCTGAAGCCTGATTTCAAATTTCTTGAGGTGAAGTCTCATTCTGATTCCTCTTGTCAAGTATAAGCTTAGCTCACATGAATCCTGAAGTGAGCAGATAGTAGCTATATGTTCACTGACATTTCCCTTCCCACACTAAAAGCTGGCCATTTTTTTTGTCTAGGTTGCTTATCCATATGTAGCGAAGCGTCTCCTAACGGATCCCAATCCTGCACTTCGGGAACGTTTGATACAGGTTTACTGATAATTCTGATGTCATCTTCCTTTAATGAAACGTCAAATTGTTATCCGCGTCATCTGAAATAAGAGATCTTGTTGCCACCACCGTTTCAGGTTTTATTCAAAGATGGTAATTTCCAATGGAAAAGGCTGGAAAACCTAATATCACTTGCAAAGGAAAACGTCGGCCAAATGAGTAGCAACCCTGCCCTACGAGTTAAGCGTGTGTAAGTAACCGAGTGTTGGATAAACAATCTTCCCAAATCTCAATGGGGGCAGTCCCGTAGAAAGCTTCTTAATCAATGTTTTACACATGATATTTTTTTCAGGGAGAGTAAGCTTGATTTGACAGATACCATCAAGGACGGAGCTCGTCTTTTCCTCCTTGATGAAGGCATTCGCAGGAAACTTATTCTTGCACTCACAGAAGACTCAAAGCTTCATGTAGAAGAGGTTTGTAGCATAACAATAATAGTTATCATTCCATTGACACTTGACCTCTAAAGATTAATCAGTAAATTTACGTATGATATTTCAGCTTGTGGACGTATACAAATTGGTTGAAGAAGAAGTAGATATTCCCACACTCGCCATGCAAGTCGTGCAAGGTATTATATTCCCCATCTTACATTCTTATGATCCATGTAAACATTTAGCACATATTATGATTTTGAATTCTCTTTCCTTTGGCTTTGACTGCAGATTTGCCCAATGTTTTTCGGGATTTCGTGCTGTCATGGAGCAACTCAGTTTTATCCGACAGATGATGAATCGGCTTCTTACCAACTCAATCTTTGTAGGGGGCTTTTTTTATGAAGAAGAAAGAGGTAGAGTTTATCAGGGAGAAAAACGTAGATTAATACAGTTTTAATCTTCGGTGCATTATACATGTTACAAGTAATATAAATACAGCATACATGTAATTATATAGAAGAAGCACACACAAACTTCACTTGTTGCTCCTTTTTTTTTCAAGTCTTTGACGTTGTCTAATGTAAATTGGATACAGACACTAACATTAATCGACGTCTTTCAAATCAAACTGTGTAGTGGCACTAGACTGATTCACAACCTCTGGACTCGAAAGAATTGTTTTAGTGTATATTTGCACTTTACGGCACTCTACCGAGTTACGACTAGCCCCTCACGTGCCCATGCGTTACTCGATCTCGCGAGGTAAATATGTCTTATTGTAAACGTTCCACCACTATTTCGCATAGGCATAGACATTCGGGGTTCCAATCAGATTTTAGATTTTCGAGTTCATCAAAATTAGCACCATTCGGATTATTTGAAAGTTTGGTTCGGGATTGGTTCGAGTTCCATTGACTTTGGGTCGGAGTTAGTAAATCTTTAAAGAAACGATATAACCTGTTATATTTTCGGATTCGGGTCGGGGTTAGTAAATCTTTAAATAACCGCTATAAACCGTTATATTTTCGGATTCGGGTCCCAATCAACACTTTGGTTTAAAAATACTTATTTATACTTATTTTGTAACCAAAATAAGTAAAAACTATACTTAGGATTTAAAATACCTGAGATTAAGAAAAGAGGTGAAACTTCTGGGGCTTCTCCCTCAACGAGTGGTCAGAGCAGCAGCGAGTCAGTCAGTGCTAGGGATGTTAAGTTGGGTAAATTTACTCAGCCCAGCCCAACCCACAAAAAACCCAGCCCCATTTATATCAAACTCACAAAAAACCCATAACACATCATGGTTAAAATAAAGTCCACAAAATAACCTAATAGGGTATAGGTTCACCCATGGGTACCCAAGTGACTAGATCATAAATTTTAATACCTATACATAAATATTTATATCTTTTTGCATACATAACCAAATTATACATTTTATATATTAATAAAAATATAAGTTTAACAGCTATACAAATATTAAAACCACAATTATAATAAATTCATATTTGATCAATTTTCTCAAATTTCTAAATTTTAATGTTGATATAATTTGTTTGCAGGAAGATCCTATTGAAGATAGGACCAGCAATATTTGATATTCACAAAAGAACTCATAAAGTCAATGAAACAACAATAACACCACAAAAAGTATATATTAGGGTGTTTTGGCAATGGCATTATTCACTCTCCTCTAGAGTTATATAAACTGGTTTACATCCGGATAAGAATAAACAAAAACAAACACTTAAACAAAGGATATATCTTTCTTTAATCTATTTCACCATAAAGCAATAAAGGTGACAATAAAGCAATAAAGCAAACACTTAAACTGGTTTACATCCCCTACTTTGCAACATCAATATACATTAAAAAAATGACAATAAAGCAAATGACAATAATGTAGATGCTAATGTGCTCATCGAAATCTACCTCAAGAAGAGAAGGACCAAGAAGCCAAACTGCCTTCTACTGCAAGGGAAATACGTATATCTGCAAGAGACCAATACAGTAAGTAATCAATACGTTGAAGTTAAACTAAAAACAATATCACAGCAATATTACAGCAATACGGTTATCAGATAATTAAAAAATACTCTTTACTTGAAACGTTTGTCATTGTATTGTTAAAAAATACTCTTTAAATGGGTTACCACAATTTAAGATTAGCGTTACTACCAATCAAAGCATTCACACCACCTTTCAGACATTGGGACAGAACTAAAAAGCCATTCTCTTTAGTTTATCCTCGATTTATTCAAACAAGGAAAATACAAAAACATTCTCAAGTCTCGTGTACTTCACCGATATCACAGAAATATCACAGCAATACTAGAAGATCTAACCTTTCAACTTATCATTTGAACATTTTTGAAGTTAAACTAAAAGACTCATAATAAAAGCAAACAAATACATCTCTGCTCGTAATCTACATCCCCAGTTATGAGCTCGTAATAAACAAATAAGAAGCTTGAGTTTGAGAGGAAACCTGATGATGGGTTTGCTGCAGAGATCCGTTCTCAAGACCCTGAGACAAGCAGAAATCGAGAGAGAGAGAGAGATTGAGAGATCGAGAGAAAGAGAGAGAGATATCGAGAGAGAGAGATTGAGAGATCGAGAGAAAGAGAGAGAGAGAACCTGAGAGAGACGGCGAAGGAGATTGAAGGAGAGAGATCGAGAACCGCGAGAGAGAGATTGAGCTGAGACTTGAGAGAGAGGGCGTTGGTTTTTTTTTTTTTTAGGTTTGTGGGTACCCATTAACTCATATTGGGCTACCCATATAATATAAATTTTTTTTAATTATGTAAGGGTAAAAACCCATGTTAAGCCCATTTATTTATTGTAAGGGTAAAAACACAATCCAATATTTGTGGGTTTGGGTACCCTCATGGGTAATTACCCAAGTTAACATCCCTAGTCAGTGCCCGCCTGGGAAAGTTTTAGTAATTGAAGACGGTGAAGCAAGGTGTCTTGTGAAGGAAAGAGTCGAAATACCTTTTGACACGATGGTTGCAAAACGATATGTAACTTACGGATACGGTTGAACTGAAAGCAAAAAAGGCCCTTCTCTGTAATCTTTACTGTCTCCTCAATTCCAGTGTGTAAAGTTTCAACCTTTCTATCTCTTAAGATGTGAAGTTATATAAACTCTCCCAAAGTTTTATTCTTGGTTGTGATCCATTTGCAGGTTGTGTATCTGTTCTCATGTTTGATCAGGTGGATTTAGTGTATCACAACTCGCACCACTTGCGTAGTCGTAGGCAAGTGTATTATTAATTAGTAAAATAATGAGAACAAGCTTACTTTTTAAAATAATTGTGGTTTGGCAAAAGATTGGTCAAAGAAAGTGTAACTCATCCATTAGAAACCATGTTCCATTGCAGTGTACTAGCACATAGTTTCATTTAATTACTGGACAACCTTTATCAAGAACTTGCTGAACAAGAACTGTCTCTTGGATAACACAAAAGGGTCATTAACAGAACCTATATATAGTTATACATATGACACCTTTCCTAATTGGAGTAAGATCACACAGCTTTCTTATTACAAAACATAATTTTATATCAAGTAAAATTAGTCTGTGAGGTTATGGAGAGTGAGGGAAAGATTGTGTTTACAGAAGAGCAGGAGGCTCTTGTGGTGAAGTCATGGAGTGTCATGAAGAAAAATTCTGCTGATTTGGGTCTTAAACTCTTCATCAAGTAAGTATAATTACATGTAATTACATATTTACATAAAATTTTCTAAAAAATATTATTTTATTTATTTGTGTTAAATTTTGAATCAGTGTAAATTAGGACGATAATATTTATTAATTAATAGAGATTATTAATTATGGAGTATTAATTTATAAAAATTTTGCTATATATGATTTGAGATATGAAAAAATTTGAAAACGTAGGATCTTTGAGATTGCACCAACAACGAAGAAGTTGTTCTCGTTTTTGAGAGACTCACCGATCCCTGCTGAGCAAAACCCAAAGCTCAAGCCTCATGCTATGTCTATTTTTGTCATGGTAACTTGATCCACTTGAAGAAATTTCAATACTTCATCTATGGACTATTTTTTTTAATATTTAACTGAATTTTGGAGTTTTGGGTTTATCTCAGTGTTGTGAATCAGCAGCACAGCTGAGAAAAACAGGAAAAGTTACAGTGAAGGAGACAACTTTGAAGAGACTTGGAGCCAATCATTCTAAATACGGCGTCGTTGATGAACACTTTGAGGTTAGCCATATCTTGGATTGTTCTTTGTAAAGTAATAATATCTTAATAGAGCAGAAAATATGATAAAATCTTGCAGGTGACCAAGTATGCATTGTTGGAGACGATAAAGGAGGCGGTGCCGGAGATGTGGTCACCGGAGATGAAATCTGCTTGGGGTCAGGCTTATGATCACCTTGTTGCTGCCATTAAAGCTGAAATGAAGTCTTCTCCTTAATATAATAAGCAGATATCTACTTATTACAAAACTTGTAATCAAATTTTGATTATGAGTTGTTTGTATCCACATTACGATTAAGTCTTTTTTCTTTTCTTATTTATCTAGTTTGTACTATTTGCAATGAAAGGAATGGTTTTATTGGGCAAATACTTTGATAAGGATGATGCTCCTGTTCGAACTAATTGGATAGTATATATGTCTGGAGAAAGAAATGAACGCTTTGTTTCACAAGGAATCCTTATGATTATGATTTTAAAAAATGAGATTTACTTCTCTGTTTTATTATAATTGTCATTCTATCTATCTATACTATTATTTGTGAAGTGATTTTCGCAACGGATCTCTCACGTTAAAAGTTGGAGTGATTAATATCGTTTATACCCTTAATGAATAATATATATAAATCAGCCAAAGATAAAAACGAATTTAATATTTATTTGATTAGATAAATGATTTAAACTAATAATAATAATTATCCATACTCTAAATATATATTTAAAAATAAAAAGATAATTCCTATATATATTGTGTTGTTATCCGGAAAATATATTTTTAATAAAAAAACTCAAAATCAGAAAACACATAAATAAATATTCATAAAATAAAAAATTTCATTGTATATAATTCAAAAGAGAAAGTTGAAAAATTATAAAATGTAATTATTTTAAAAAGAAAATATAATTCCTATATATATTGTGTTGTTATCCGGAATTTTTTTTTAAAAAATCAAAAACAGAAACACACATAAATAAATATTTATAAAATAAAATCTTCAATTGCATATAATTCAAATGAGAAAATTGAACAAAATATAATACGTAATTTTTTATTAAAATAATATAATAATATAATATAATGATAGATATTTGTGAAGTTATTTTTCGCCTCTGAACTCACACATTAAATTAAATTTAAATTTATATTTTATATAGTTAAACCTTAAACATGAATTAATCATATAAATAAAAATTCATTCAAAAAGAAAGAAAATACGTATTTGATAAAAATAAATTCAAATATATTGTATTGTTATCCAAACTAATATTATTTTTTCTGTAATGCAAATAATCATTTATTTTGATATTTTTTTAAATTGATTTAAAGATAATTAAGCCCGTATGTGCGGGCAAAACACCTAGTAATTATATACATAGATTAAAAAAATATTTAGTTTTACATATTTTATATATAAAAATACAATTACCAATATACATAATCACATTTTAACCAGTAAAAAAATAAATTACATAATAAATATTTTATTGAAAACCGAAAATGATATTTATTTTGTAACGAAAAAAATTCTCTACAACGACACTTAATATGAAACGAAAAAAGTAAACAATAATTTTATTTATCAAAAAATGATGTGTTTGTAAAACAATATACTCCATCCGTTTCAATTTAATTGTCATTGTAGAGTTTTGCACACAGATTAAGAAAACAATTAATTTTACATATTTTCAAAATAAAAACACAATTATCTATACACCTAACCACTTTTCAACCAATGAAAAAATAGAATAACATTTAAAATCAATAAATTTTGCATTGAAATTATAAAACGACACTTATTTTGAAACGAAAATTTTACTCTAAAATAATATATAATTTGAAACGGATGGAATATATGTTTTTATATAGACATGAAACACACTAATGAAAGAATAAAAAAAAGTAACGTCTACAGATCAATAAAATATTATTCTAAGAAAGTAAAAAGTAAAAGGTCGACGACACAAAAATAATTCAGACCAATCAAACCTTCTTTAAATATGATTAAAGTACATAAACGTACTACTTGCACTGAAAAGGTAAATAATAAAAAAAAAAAACCCGGCTTGCTCCCTCTACCAACTGCGACAAGAAGCACTATCCCCACAAGAAACCCCATCTCCCCCTCGAAACTGCCAATCTCAAAAAGGTCAGCCCTTCTTCTTCTTCCTCTTCGATCATTCTCTTCCTACTCTCTGTTTATATTATTACTTAAATTCGATTTTAGTTACTTAACGATTGATTCAACAAGTTTACTCGGATCCGCTTCCAGTTTTTACTTTTGAGGGTTTGGATTCGATTCTTTTTCTTTGCTAAGTGATCTGTTACCGAGTTTTCTTTGCATTCTCTATCCATAGATTGTTTAAGTAGTCTCGTTTACATATGCAGATCAAGGAAATGACTTAGAAGAAGCTTCAATAGCAAAAAAAAAAAAAAAGTTTGGAACTTTATGGAACTTGTTAAGCTTCAAGCAAAGACCTTTTGCAACAAACAAGACTTTCACTTAATCATCAATTCTGATGATTTAGTTTGCCCCATTTGCTTAGACTCTCCTCACAACGGCGTCCTCCTCCAATGCTCTTCTTACCAAAACGGATGCCGTGCGTTCCTCTGCAACACAGATCACCTCCACTCCAACTGCTTAGACCGTTTCATCACCGCCTCTGGAACAGACTCACCTCCTCATTCTCCTGATGAGACACTGTCTAAGGTTTTGGAAGAGAGTTGCAAACCATTATGTCCACTCTGTAGAGGAGAGGTTACTGGATGGGTTGTTGTGGAGGAAGCTCGAGTTCTACTCGATGAGAAACACCGTTCTTGTGAGGAAGAGCGTTGTAGGTTCACTGGTTCTTACACTGAGCTTCGTGATCATGTTAAGTCAGAGCATCCAGACTCTCGTCCTTCGAAGATTGATCCTGCGAGGAAGCTTGACTGGGAGAATTTCCAGCAGTCGTCTGAGATTATCGACGTGTTGAGTACGATTCACTCTGAGGTTCCGAGAGGTGTGGTGTTAGGAGACTATGTGATTGAGTATGGAGATGATGATGGCACGGGGGATGATGAGTTTGAGGATGGTGATGGGAGTGAAGGGAACTGGTGGAGGTCTTGTATTTTGTATAAAATGTTTGATAATATAAGGAATGCCAGGAGGAATAGGAGAAGGTCGAGGATGATTATGAGTGAGAGTGGGAGAGGGAGAGGGAGTCGCCGTTTTAGCTATGAGAATTCAAACTCTGATGATAGCTCTGTAGCGTCGATAGAGTTCCCTGTGTATAGAGTAGATGAGGTTGATGATGAGTTCGTCACAACAAATGGAGTTAACAGAAGTAGCGCTATGCATCAAAGGTTAGAATCATTTACTCTTTGATAGATTGGCACCACTAGATTTTGGATTTGTTGTTTGTGTCTACATGATGGTTACATAATAGACGTTTACTTGATGATGCCATAGGTTCTCTCTGGTTTACAATGCTAGAAGGCGTCGCTCTCGCTTTTATGCAAACTAGGGTATCAATTGAAGTTGAAGATGGGAAGCAGATGAAGTAGACCAGCATATTCGTAGCCAGTGTTGTTCTTGGTTTTGGACTTTTCTTTTCTTTCAATACAAATTTTTATGTTAGGTTTGTTTGTCTTGTGACATGTACTCGCAGTCGCAGCCTTGTACAAAAACATAAGAAAAAAAAGCTTTTTGTTTGTACCATGATTCGTTGTCTCTTACAGGCTATCTTTCAACAGTGAAGGTATGCTGAGAGATGTAACTTTAATATTTATGTTCTAAAAGCTTCAGTCTTATTATGACAAACACAACTTTGTCAAAGTACATGGAACCGTCACAGAATTCAAAAGAGCTCAGAGAGAGAGAGACTAGTATGGAACATTATTGGGCAAGTTTCTTATGACATTACTCTTCATTGCCATCTTGGTACGCATTGTCTCGCCTCTCTTATTCATCTCCTTAATCGCTTTCATCTTCACTCTATCCTCTTTCGATGGCACTGTCTTCAGACCAAGGCTCTTGTACCTGTTAATTAACCATTTGAGGGTATTACCTTAGTTAAGATTAACTAGATGATGATTCTTTAGTTTAATAGTTTAATGGATTTGGAGACAAACCTTGAAGACAGAGAGGCAACAATCTGGTTACTGTTTTCAGAACTTGGGCGCGGCTTCTGTCTATAGTAACGCATGAATTCACGGGACCCCAGAGTCCTAGACGTTGTTGTGTTCTCAGATCTCTCAGTGATAACGAGCTCAGAACCTCCAACGAGTTCTACAGCGTTTTCTGTTTCACCAGCTACGACTATCTGGTCTCCAGTTTCATCAACATAGCTGCTCAATATGATAGATTGGCATAAAAAGAGGGATACAGATGAGAATAAGAATAAATAAGATATTAGTGGAAACCTGCTGCTGTAGTCGTAGAAGTCTTCGAGTTCAGCATCTTCATCATCATCACCATCACCATAATGCAATTTGCAATGACTCTTTGCTTCCATATGCTTTCTTACAGCTTCTAAGCTGCTGAATGCATGGCACAGCTCGCTACAGTACAGACACATGAAGTCTCTCTTGACCTAAATGATTATCCATGGAATAAGAGTAAACAAGAGTTTTAAAAAAACCTCAAGACTTTACAAGAATGAACACACTAAACAAATGAGTCCGAACCTTAAGACCGAGGTAAGTGAGAAGCCCTTCTGGATCTTCTAAATACTCAACATCCGGAACAAAGAAACCATGGTGCTTATGCATATGAACCATACAGCTCTCCAAAGTCTTATGTTTCTTGTCACACATCAAACAACAAGTCGGATCCAACTCATACTTGTCTTCATCCATATCTTCCTCACCACCTCCTGACTCATTCACATTCAACTTAGACAAAGAATCCAAGGCTTGTTCTTCTTCAGCCAATTCATCATCTGAATCAGCCTCCACCCACTCATCATCACTCTCCTCGTTCTTGAAACGGCGAGGAGGAAGTGGCGTGACTATCGCCACATCCTCATCACCATTTCTGCTTGTTTCCCCTTGTGAAACGCGCAAAACGTGGCTACGTGACTTGAGATGCTGCTCATGAGCCTTGGAACTCCTGTAACCTTTACCACAGACTCCACAGGTATAAAGCATAGGCGCTTCATCTGATTTACCTTTCTTCTCCAGAGCAAGAGTAGATTGTCTAGCCTCAAACAACTCCTCCGTAACCCCAGGAACTCCAGCTACCTACACGTATTCAAAACCTCAACGATTCAAATGCTGTATATAATAAAGTTTTTATTTTTATTTGCTTAACAAATAAAGTTGAACCATTTCGACAGAAAAAATGATAAAGTTTTGATTTTTTTGCTCATAACCTTTCATCTAACCAACGCAAAAGCATCAGAATACAATAAAAATATGACCTTGCGTTTGAGATTGTAGCGGTGCCAATCGGAGCTGTAATGAAGCTTTCGTTCAGCTTCGTTCTCGAACTCCATGTTACAGGCGTTACATGTTAAGCCAGGCATCTCTCACCAGCTCGATCGATTTCAAATGGGGGAAACAAGAGAAATGAAGAGATCAAGAGATTCCCAATGGATTTTGCACGTTTCGGTTGATGATGTTATGTGAATGCTCTCTCTCTCTAGCCCCCTTTTCATTTTGGAAGAGAAGCTGTAATGTGGTTTCTATTGGGCTTCTGTTTTAGTTATTGGGCTGGAGTTGTTAAAGCCTGTGAATTTTATGCCCAACAGGTTAAACCAATACATATTTTCTTTTGTTTAATGTTGTAATGTAAACTAGAACTTGACCCGCACCCCCGTGCGGGTGTTTGATTTAATTTGTGTTTAACGTAAATTTATAAACCGTTGGTTTTTTACAAATTTTTTTTTTATGTTTTGTAATTTACATATAAAGTAAAATATATTATTTTATAATATAAATATTTAATAATAATTTTTATTTGTACATAGTAGTATATCAGAAATTTTATAACTTGATGCAATTTGATGTAATCGTACTATTCATATACTACAATGTTGTTTTTGGTTAATTTATTTTAAAATAAATAAACATACTAAAAATTATTTTTTTGAATTAGTTTTCTATGAATTATCATTAATTTATGATTTTTTTTTAAATTGAACTCACACAATTTTATATTTGACTAAATTAAATAAGGTAATATTATATTTAAAAATTATTTTATATAATGTATACTATATATTTCGGTTTGTGTTTTTATTTTCATCACAGAGAAAGAAAAATCATTGAAATTAATTAACTTAAACTGATTTTAAATGCAATGACATAATCTGTAAATAAAAAGAAATACAAAAGGAAAGTATTTAATTTATTGTAAATACAATAGCTAAATGTACAAATAAAAGAAAATACTTAATTTACTATCCATGTTTCCAAACAATGTTTCATTTATTTTGCTATTCTTATTTCCAAACAGTACCAAAAGGTACTTCAGTTTTAATATTATAGATTAAGTTAATTAACTAAATCTTATGATCCTGCTAAGTTCATTAATGTTGTAATGAACTCTTGAGAAATCTTTTAGAAAAAATTATATATTCTTAAGAAAATTCTAAATTCTTTGAAAATAATTTTGAACCCTTCAAAAATACTTCTAATCTTTTCAAAACTTTTTTTAACCTTTCTGCAAAAATTCGAAATTTTTCACAAATAATTTCAGTTAAAAAAAGTGATTATAATTCTAACCGCAGGCCTGTAAATTAGGAAACTAAACTGAGTGAGGAAATAAATAAAAAAAGAGAGGGAGGAGAACAAGAAGACGACAAATAACGAGAAATAAATCTCTCAACAACACCAACGAACTCTTTCTCTCTCTCTCTCTCTCCCTTCTCTCATGGATTCCGACGCCGGACCACGTCAGCCTCGATCCGGAGGCAAGATTGTTCGACCTCGCCGGAGATTCGCAGTCAGGACGCCGTATGACCGCCCTGCTCCAAGATCTCGGGAGGATCCTCCTCAGCAAAACCCTAGTTGGATCTCCAGGCTCGTTTACAAACCTGTCACCGTAATTGCCTCCGGCGCCGGGAAATTCATTTCTTCCGTCGTCTTCTCTGAATCTTCCTCATCTTCTTCTGAGGACGAGGATTCATCTTCAGGTATGTCTTCTTGCCTTTATGCTTCCTCTTTAACAATGTGTAATAATAATTCATTTGGGTTCCGACAAGATTAAAAATTGAATCTTTGGTCGGAATCTGAAACATACACTTTTAATTGAAATGTGAATTTGATTTAAAGCTTCCACCTTTTTTTTTTATTTCCTTCAATAATGTCACGTAATTGCAGTGGAGGGATTGTACTTGCTTAACTTTTAAACCTGTTAACTTCGTATTATTCTCAAACTCTTTTTTTTTTCTTTCTTTCATATACGGTTTCAACTACGTTCTACCCCATCATCCTGCTTGTGTATTCTTTAATTCTCTTTCGAAGTATGTTTCATTTGTTCACTTCGTTGTTTTCATAGGTTTCATTTGTTCGCTTCCTTGTTTTCAGATATTGAAGGTGATGAGGATGTTGAGAAGAACATTACTGATTTTCTCGAAGATGAAACAATAGTTGAGGTACTAATAACCACCTTAGTCGTTTTGTGTAAAGTTATGCCTTTTTCTAAATTTGCTTAAATACCGTTGGTCTGTGATTTTCAAATTCAGAATTTATTCACCTTTTATTGGCCTAGTGGTTGGTGTTGCCAAAGGTTCTAGTTTGAAATTTTTCGATGGCTTTGTACTGAGTCTAGTGGTTTTGTACTGAGTCTAGTGGTTTTGTAGAAGTCCACAAAGTTGACATTTTTCCAACATTGTATTTTGATGGAAGCCTTATTTCAGTTTATGTGGAGTGAATATGATGTGTTCTTGTGTTAATATGACGTTGTGAATGCCCAGGAATCAACCATCCAAAGACTTGGTTCTAAGCGTGTAATTGAGCAGCTTCTCATGCAAGAAACATTTGCAAGGTATTTGGAAGTGTCTGGACATATACATCTCTTAGTTGAAAACATAATTGTGGTATTCTTTATAATGAGATTGTTAAGATATTGATGTGTATATTGTTTCAGGGAAGAGGGCGATAGATTAATAGATATTATCAAGGCGAGGGTTGTAGATCATCCCTGTGTCCCCACTCCTGATGAGGGGAGGCATAGTAATAATGGATTGACAAGTGGTATGTAACTAATCTGTGCAAGCAGACGGGATTAGTTTATGTGATAACATCTTCTCGCTCTCTTTTTTTTTTTTTCTAGAAGTGAATGTGGGTGAAATGTCCAATAAAGCTGTCATGGAAGCAAAAAGATGGTTGGAGGAGAAGAAATCAGCATCACATTCAAAGTCTATAGTAAGTTTTGGAATCTGTGCACATATGAATTGTTCATCTTCTGATAGTTTTCCTTCACAAGTTTTTCCGCTATTTGTGGTATCTTCTCCAATGTGCTTTTTAGACAACGATCACCACCTCAGTTTTTCATTTCCAATTTCCAGGCAACTGAAGATGGTGGTGGATCGCCTGCGGATGTGGCCAAGTCATATATGCGAGCTCGTGTGCCATGGGGTTCTCCATCTGCGAAAAATTCAGAGTTCCAGTCACCATCACCAGCAGGGATGCAACTTCTCAAGGAAGGGACACCGTTTCCTTATAGTGCTGGAAACTTTTCCTCTTCCAAGGTGCAGTGCATACCTTTCTTATGGTCAAACATTGTTTGAAAGTCTGGAGTTGTTTTTTGTTCATGTTGTTTATATCCAGTTTTCAAAAAAGAAAAGTTGCATACCGTTATGTATATCTTATGACTCTCCCAAAGTTATGCATGTGGATTCTGATTTTGGATACCAAAATGCAGCTGAGAAGGAGTTCCCGTTCTAATCATACATGGAATATTCAAGATGAAATTCGCAAAGTCAGAGCTAAAGCAACTGAGGAAATGCTTAGAACTGTATCCCCTCGTAGTGTAGCATCATTGAATGTTGATGGAGGTGCTCAAGGTGTTTTCTTTTTCTTTATTCACATATATGCAGTGTATGGAAAAATGAGATAAAGCTGAAAGTAATTTTGTTCTTGTTACATGTAGTAGTAACACTTTTTGTCTCTGTTTTTTCAGCTATACGGATTGAGCAAAGCGTGGCTCTACCAAATCCAAGCATACCCACCTCTGAACAAAATCAGGTATCACGCACCCTTTACACTATGTGTCTATAAAAAGAAAGAATTTGCAGGTTTGATCTTTTCTTTCTTCCCTTGTGTCCTACTTGATTGAAGACTACGGAAGCTAATCAAGCCGTTGAAGAAACAAGAGTTATACACACTAGATCTCGTTAGTTAGTTATCCCTTCATCCGTTTTTTGTATACAGTCTCTCATCTTCAATTCATAAAGTCCGTCTCATGGATTTAACCTTTTCTGTTAAGGTGGACTCGGTTTAGACAAGGCATTTGTCTCCACACAAGGAGCTGGTGTTGATCACTCCAATGATAATGACTTTATCCAACCTAGCTCAACTATTGGAGAGACCACAAATGGTAACAATTTGGATTTATTAGATGATGTTTGTGGTTGGTTCTCTCTATTAACTTGTTAATACAGCTGTCTTGGCTCCTGGAGCAACTTTGGACCCAACTGGGAGCTTTTGTATCCCAAAAGATGTGTTCGAAACATCAAAAGAACCTGATGATGACATAGGCGCAGCAGGTCCTACTTCCAACGGCTACCCATCTTCATCACCTAGGTGAAAATAATTACTATTTTTTTTTTTAAAACGGGCTCCTTTGTATGATTGGTTTGACATAAGATGATGATAGTACTTCCTACTAAGCAAAGCTTTCTTTTTCAGTTCACCAGTGGCAATGGAAGCTGAGGCCTTTGAGCCAATAGTAGAAACTCCTGGTGATATCACGGTTGGGAATGGCTCAGATGGTGCGATTGATAACGAAAACAATAACAGCGACTCAGGCGCCTCACATAACAGTTCAAGCACGCATGAGAAAGAGTGGCTCCCAGGAGACCAGTCTCTACCGAACTCAAACTCAGCAAGTAGCAGCCCTGGTACCAGCAAGGTCGTAGCACCCACGAGAAGAGGAGGACGAGGCCGAGGTAGGGGAAGAGGTAGAGGAACTCGAGGCAAAGGACGGGGCAAATAAACTGTAAGAAGAGCTGTACACAAGAAACACAGTGCAGTAGGAGAGTATAATGAGGTAGGATTATGTGACATGTATTTTTATAAATTTCAGACCCACTTCCTTTGTTTGTCTACCAAGGTCTTTGTCATTTCATTAGCTCTTTAGGTTTTTATTTTACTTCTTGTAGTATTGTTTTCTGGAATTGTGTTAAACTGTGTCTCTGTTTATTTAGTTTCTGAATGTTTAATGTTTATGTTGTAAAGGCTTGAAACTTGGTTTTGTTCTAGTCTGACAAAGCTTTCCACTTTCAAGATTCAGTACTGTACTATTTTTTCCAATTCTAAATAAAAAGAATTTAAATTTGACCAAAAAGCCAGCACCTGATTGTTGGGAATGAATCCCAAAGCAAATAACAACCATCTTCTATCCTTTATTTCGAAACTGTGACATGCCCTGATAAAGTAGTACCTAGTTTCAATAGTAGATAAGATTACTCTCAGATCAGAAGTCATGATGAATGAATGGTTTTAATCCTTACGAATCTAGTGTCACAACTTATTTTCTTATGTCAACTTGGTTTTAATCCAAAGTACAAAAAGGCAGTACGAGAAAATGTTACCAAGACAGGGAAAGCGGACAGAACATAACTAAAAAGAAATAAAACAGACACAGAACCAAAAAAAAAAAAGGAAGGAAGAAGAAGAAAACCCAATAAGCAGCGCGATCGAAGCTAATAAAGACAGAAGAGCCAAAGCTTTCAGTTTATAAAGGGCAATACGAACAAACCCACGACGAAGCCGATAAATCATTGTGTTTGGTCGGAAGAAGCTTACTTCTTCTTTTGTTCGGTCTTTTTGTCTGAATTCTGGGTCAATCCTCAGCCAAAAAAAAAAAAGTTTATTCCTTTCAATCCAATCTCTTTCAACACTTGTTTCTCTGCTTCCAAAGCTTGGGTCCCGCTTCTCATTCCCCCGCTTCCTCTCCACCTTCATTAGGCAATTCGAATTCGTTGCTCTGTTCTCAAGCTCGAATCTTTTTCTTTCTTTCTTTCTTCTCAAACCCCACTGATCTGGATTTGCTTCAGCTGTAATTCTCAAAGTTCTTAGCTTTACGAATTGGGCGTGGAAGATAAATGCTGGATTGTTCTGCTCTGTTGCAGTTTCGTCTTCTTACCCGCTCGTGAGGTTTGGTGAGTTTGTTCCTCTGAGAGATTGATTTGGTAACTTTGAGCTCTAGGGTTTGTACTTTGTAGTATTTCCTGATACTGAATCAGCCAAAGGTGGAGACTTTAAGGTTATTAGTGACTGTGTGAGCTGGGTAGTAGTTGTTGATGATCTCTGTTCTCTAGGGTTTTGGTTTTGGGAGGAGATGAGATTTGGCTTTGCCATTGTATAGCTTTCAGCTAATTCCTTGAGATGCTCCTGGATTTGAGTTTGAGAAGTTATAATAAGTTCATGAGTTGGATTTATTGGTGTGAAGGATAACTTGGGTGCATCTTGTGCACTCCTCTGTTTGTTTCCATCGGCTTTTGAGTTTTTAAGAAGAAGAAGAAGAAGAAGCATAAAGAGAGAAGTATGCAACGTCCTGAAGATCCCAGGATTGATCTGTCTGAGCTGAAACTGCATATTGTGAAGAAAATTGGGGTTGAGAGATCTAGAAGGTATTTTTATTACTTGGGTAGGTTTCTGAGTCAGAAGCTTACCAAGAGTGAGTTTGATAAGTCATGTCACCGTCTTTTGGGAAGGGAGAATCTTCCTCTACACAACAAGTTGATTCACTCCATCTTGAAGAATGCATCTCTTGCTAAATCCCCACCACCATCACTTCACAAAACCAAAGATGGACCTGAGCAAAGCGGATCTCTGATTCCTAACCATAATAGGAATGACCCGGTTTTGTCAAATGGGGTGTTACACAAGGTTCGGTCAGGAACGTGTGGTGGGACAGCTAGAGATAGGCCTAGTCCACTTGGGCCAAACGGAAAGGTTGATAGTCTGTTGCCTCAGCCACTTTGTAGAGAAGATAAAAGCGGTAATAGATATAAGGAGAACGGGGACTTTGGTCCATTTGCCTATCATAGACCAAGTCAATATTCTGATGGAAGAGGCACTGCATTTCCTTGTCCTGCTGAAAAACTGAGTTTACCGGATAAAGGTAAGGTCACAGCTCAAGTTAACAGAGATGACAAAGCTCAAGTGGAGCGAGGTAGATTGAGTCCTGTAATGGCACCTCTAGGGATTCCATTCAGTGGGACCCGCAGAACAGTTCCAGCTTCGACCAGGGCTGACATCATTACTTGCTATGACAGTGGTGGATTATCAGAGACAGAGATGCTGAGAAAGAGGATGGAGAATATTGCAGTAGCACAGGGTCTCGGAGGGGTTTCAGCTGAGTGTTCTACTATGTTAAATAGCATGCTGGACGTGTACCTGAAGAAACTGGTCAAGTCATGCTTTGATTTGTCTGGAGCAAGGTCCACGAATGGGCAGCCTGGAAACCAAAATTTGAACAAACTGCAGAGCCGAGACAAGATTGTAAATGGGGTGTGGCCGAGTAATAGTTTGCAGTTACAAAGTATAAACCAACCGTCTGACATAATGCAAGAACAGCGTCCTGTGTCTTTGCTTGACTTTAGAGTTGCAATGGAGCTAAATCCACAACAACTTGGCGAAGACTGGCCATTGCTTCGGGAGAAGATTCTCATGCGTTCATTTGAAGAACGAGAAGGGGTGTGAAGGAAAATGTTTTGGGATGTTGGATGTTGCAAATTGTCTGAGTAAGCTGCTCTGGTCCCAAAAAAAAAAAAAAAACTCTGGTTTTTGGTCCACTGACCTGATGGCTCAGAGACACATCTTCTGCAGCAGCAGACTCGGGGCCGGTTAGTAGATACAATGCAGCTAAGCCCAAAGAACCGTATTTGAAGGCAAAATACGTGTTGTTGTAAGACCAGCGGCCATCTCCTCGAGTTTCAAGCTCTGTGTGTAACACGCAGGCTGCTTTGGGTTTTAGGTGGGAGCAAGGTACAAAAACAATCATGTAATAGCTGGAGTATTGCTGTGTATGTAACATAAGTCTTAGAATTGTTTAGAATTTATATCTTGCAAAGACATTGACAGCACTTTTACCTGCATTTACGTTTTACATTTTTGTTTTCTCATTTTAATGAAAAAGGTTACTTTTATAGTCATCAATGTATTCCCTAATTCTAAACACTTACTGGTGGTTTTCTTGCTGTTACATAAGGTATGGACGTAAACTAGGAACCGTTTCAGATGATCCTGCCAAGTAATATTTGCAGTGAGTCGCAAAAAGGAAATATATATAGTGCTCTCTGTCTATGAAGATTCATGAAACTTAGATTCTAAATCCATTGATGATTCTGTCTTTCAGCTTCCCATCCAATGCAACGTTAATTGTTGGACTCTTTTGTTGGAAACCCTTGGCAAATGTCTGCTGTTAGTTGATTTTTTCATTTCTGTTTCATATGCATGTGGTGTTAATTGGCTATCATGTTAGTGAGAACATTGTTGTCCCTGCACAAAACTTATTTCATCAAGAGATCCAAATAACCAGGTTCGTTGTTGCTTTTAAAGATATTGACCGAGAGAAAAAATCTTTGTTCTTCAAAGGACATCTTTATAAGTCTTACCTGCTTTACATAACGGAAATAAACAGGCAATAGGAGAAAAGCGGAAGTAAAACACAGGAAGTTGTGTCGCTAGACAAAAGAGAACACGTGACAAAGAGAGTCAAAGCCGGTGTGAATTTGTATGTACACAAAGATGGTGAGGCCGGTTCCATTGTTGTTCACAGGCTTTGGATGAAAGAAATACTACAACGAACGTGGAGAAAGATGAAGAAGACGGTTATTTAGAGGAGGAGGTCTCTGCAGATTGGGCACCAACTCTTCATCTGCAACCATTTTTGCACACACTTCAAATGGTATGTGTGCTACAGTGTAGCCTCCCAACTTCATCACCTATTGTATACTCTTCCTGGGTACCAAAAAGATAAAGAGTATGAAAAAATCTTGGAAAAGAAATAAAAAATATCTGATTTCTCATATCAGTTCTATAGTCACCAGCATGATCATCATCAATGAATCGCTTGTAATCATAAAATATTTCCATTAAACTAAAGTAACAGTTTCCTCAAACAATAGGCAAAGCTTCGTGTTGTTCACTTAGCTACGTCACCTCATGGCAGATTATTACTTGAGATTTCATCAAAGCTAAAAACTTGATGTAGACTAACAAAAACATGAAGGAAGAGAGAGAAAATACCTGGCAGATGTTGCATTTGGCATCTTCCTTGTGAGCACAACGAATATTGTTTATAGAACCAAAACTTGAAGGTTTCTTCTGATAGATGCTTGTTTTCATGCTCTTTGATATTGCTTCTTCTGTGAGAGTACTACTTACTGTACCAATTCTCTCTTCTAAAGCTAATAGTTCCTGTATTCATTCAAAAGAGAAGACAATAGGTTAAATATACTACCTCCCAAAACGTAAGGCGGGTTTGAAGATGTAAAGACAAACCTCATAGGACATGTTATCGATGTCTAGCCTCATATCACGGTGTTGGTCATAGAAGCTTTGTCCAACTAGAATTAAACATGTTTCCATGATATGCAGTTCCTGCTAAAAGAGAGTAAAATATGAGTAATAACACTCATGACAATATCTGCAACTCAAAACATTTAAGAAAATTTAACCTCGTAATTAAGCTCAATATCTTGTTCCATCCTATCAAGTTCTGGCAAAATCTGCAAAAAGCATTTCGGCAATAGGAAACACAAAAGTTAAAATGGTGTTAAGGCATTGTCATAAGCATTATCTGATGATGCTCAGACACGATGTCAAGTTGTAGAGTAACAAGCAATATGTTACCTCAGAGATCCCATCTAAAGTGTAACTGCGAACACTGTCAGAGAGACCAAATTCTGGAAAACCAGAGAACAGCTCCAAAAAGACAGGAGAATTGAGGTTGTTTGATGTTTCAGTCTGGGACATCTCTGTTGTTGTAATAGAGGATAAACCATCTCTACCATTCCATCGGTTTGAGAATCTCATGCGGCTATTACCTCTGTTTACTGATCTCTGACTGTCAACATTCAAAATGCAATGCCTTGCCCGTCTGCTATCTGAAACAGAACCTCTCGGGTTAAAGACAAGACGTCTCTCTTCAGAAGATAATTCTGTTATCTTTTTACCACTAGCTGAGGAGTACTTTTTTTACCTTGTGTTACACTTCTGTTACCTTCCGTCTTCACTTTTTTGGCCAATCCAAAACCACTTGGGATGACACGTGACAACAACGGGCTGCATCCTCGGTTTGCAGATGTTGACAGACTAGAAGAACTAGATTGAAACTCTTGCTTGCTCAACGCAAATATCTGCCTAAAACCTCTCTTGATTCTTGAGCTTGATGGCAAGTTTGAGGATTCCCCTTTGGGTATTTTAATTTTCCATATATTAGTTTATGACGAAGCTAGAGCCACTTAAGATACTAATCACTAAACATTATACGAATATATATCAATACAATAAATGGTATTACTAGAATGGTATAAGAAACAGAAAAAAAAAGTTGACATACCATATGATTCAAGTAAATAGAGATCCACTTCCAAGGAGGTGTAACCCGTTTATTACAAGACTTTTTCGACATTGATCAACTCAAAAACCTGAGTCATGGGATCCGTAAGGGAGGAATCGAACCTATGACCTACAACATCACTTACCTCTCTCATCTTCCAAAATCCAAAACGTTCAAGAAACTCAGCATACAAAAAAAGAAAGAGAGCCATACACTCTTAAGCACTAGCTTCTAACCATCCATGATCATCCTGGTGCGACTCAGACCCTCCAGCTTCAAGAGAAGCTTCTTCCTCATCCTTCTCTTCACCTCCTTTATCCCCATACAACTTTCTTCTAGCTTCCTTGCGAGCTTCCCTCCGCGCCTCTTTCTTAGCTATATTCAAATCTTTGAACCCTTGCTCAAACTTAGCTTCATCCTCAGGATTAAAAAACGCTACTTCCATCTGACCTAGCTCAGCGTATCTTTGCTCCACTTTGGTTTTCCAGAAAAGACCCATCTCTGTATCCATCTTCTGATACGGTGTTTTAAGTAAGTACTCGTCTATTCCTCCTGCTTTGTCGATGCAGCGGAGAGCGTGCGTTGTGACTTTGACTTTAATGTGACGGTCGAATATGTAACTGAACAACCGCTTCTCCTGGACGTTAGGTTTCCAACATCTTCTTGACCTATACTCAAATCAAACCACACAAAGTTAACAACTTTGAATTTAAAAAAAAAAACAGTTACCAATATGAACTCACATCCATTTCTACTTACAAAAAGATCAGAAACATTTCAAACTCTTTCTCCTTTCATATGAAGCATATTTGTAAATGTAAACAAAGCGGTCTTTTTGGTTGAATAAAATTAAACATTCAATTCAATTAAAAACAAAAACAGATAAAAATTGTAACTTTCATCACATAGAGAGAGATACTTGGATCCTACATTTCTATCTACAAAAGAAGATAACTTTAATCACAACAAAGAAACAACACATCAAGACCTAAACAATTAAAAGTCACTGTTACATCTCTAAGCAGCTAAGATATGGAAAGGCTAATAAATCGTTTCAAACACAATCAAAAGCTCTAAACCAAATAAATAGAGAGATTTAAGTAAGAGACTGACTTGTTGCCACCGTCTTCACTAACGCGGTTTCCGTACTGGATATGGCGGCCGGCGTAGAGACCGCGTTTGGCTCTTCCCATCACGACTTTTGAATCGGGAACGCAAGCCTTGAGCTTCTCTTTCAGCTCAGGCGTCAGAGTCTCTGCTCCAACTTTCTTCACTATCTTCTTCATCATCTCTTTCCCTCTGAACGCCATTTTCGTTTTCTCCGATGGAGATCGCAGAATCTTAAACCCTACTTCGTCTTCCCCAAATCTTATCTATGCTTGGTATAACCTGGTTTAGTTTATGGTTTCAGTAAACCGGAGTCAGTAAAATCCGGTAGGTTATTTAGCCTAATTACGATCACTTTATAAATGATTGGGCTTATTTTAAAAACAACTAATAGGCTACTCTTGGACTGGGCCTTTCATTAATGGGCCTTTAAGGTTGACACGCTCTTTCCGTTTCTCGTTTCGACTAAATACATGCCCTCTTTTTTTTCTCACTTCGCACTGCGACTGTTTGAGATCCGAAATCTCTCTTTGATCCAAAAGCTTCGTTCCTCCGTGGATCTCATACCTTAAGGTTCGTCTCTCTGCTATAACTTACGATTCAGATTTTGAAGAGATCAATTCCTTTTTTTTTATTTTTTTTTCTTATTGTGTAAATCTACATTGCTTTCGATTTTTCTCGGGCGTCCTTTGTTTGATCTGGATCCGATCCCGTTAGGTACCCGATTTTCATGTTTATGCAGCTGAGATGAGACTAGATTCGATTGCTGCTCTTCAAATCTAGGGATCTAAAGCTTATATAGATGGCATTTTGATTTTGATTTTGATTTTAATTGATCTGAAGCTTTTTTTATTGATTGAAAATTGATTTATTACTGGATCTATCTATGTGTTGCATCTTTCACCCATGTGTCAACATTGATGAACTTACTTGTGTGATTGTGATGTTTGCTTATTTAGCATGGATCTGGAGAAGAGAGATATTGATCGTAGCTAAGTAGTTATGTGTATACTATTAAACTGCTTGTATAAAATTTACTTAAATAGTGATGAGTAAACAATTCTTTTGTGCTCATTTTGCTTGTCTCATTTACATTTTTTTAATCATTGTTTGTTACTTTGTGATATGTATCTCATTATGTATGTTATAAATCCAAGGATGTGAGAGTCTAGTTTTGATTCCTGGTGTTCACTTTATATCTGTCTTATGTTGCGGTGGCTTTTTTTTTGTAGGAGTAGAAAAGATGGACAAATCTAGTACCTTGCTTGTACACTATGACAAAGGAACTCCAGCTGTTGCCAAGGAAATTAAAGAAGCTCTCGAAGGAAACGATGTTGAAGCGAAAGTTGATGCCATGAAGAAGGCGGTTATGCTTTTGCTGAATGGCGAAACCATTCCGCAGCTTTTCATTACTATCATAAGATATGTGCTTCCTTCAGAGGACCACACTATCCAAAAGCTACTTTTGCTGTACCTGGAGCTGATTGAAAAGACGGATTCTAGGGGTAAGGTGCTGCCTGAAATGATTCTGATATGCCAGAATCTTCGGAATAACCTTATGCATCCAAATGAGTACATTCGTGGAGTGACGCTGAGGTTTCTCTGCCGGTTGAAGGAGACTGAAATAGTGGAGCCGTTGACTCCATCAGTGTTGCAAAATCTGGAGCACCGCCATCCGTTTGTTCGTAGGAATGCAATTCTTGCCATCATGTCGATCTATAAGCTTCCAAATGGTGACCAACTCTTCGTGGATGCACCTGAAATGATCGAGAAAGTTCTGTCAACAGAACAGGATCCGTCTGCCAAGAGAAATGCATTTCTAATGCTCTTTACCTGTGCTGAAGAACGAGCTGTGAATTATCTTCTGAGCAATGTTGACAAGGTTTCAGACTGGAATGAATCGCTTCAGATGGTGGTGCTGGAGTTGATTCGAAGTGTGTGTAAGACTAAACCTACAGAGAAGGGGAAATATATTAAGATTATTATTTCTCTGTTGAGTGCTACTTCCTCTGCAGTTATCTATGAATGTGCCGGGACGCTTGTTTCTCTCTCATCTGCCCCTACCGCTATTAGGGCTGCTGCCAACACCTACTGTCAACTTCTTCTTTCTCAAAGTGACAACAATGTGAAGCTTATTTTGCTCGATCGGTTGAGTGAGCTTAAATCATTACACAAAGATATCATGGTTGAGTTGATTATAGATGTGCTCAGAGCACTCTCAAGCCCGAACCTTGATATCCGCAAGAAGACACTTGACATTGCCCTTGACTTGATTACTCATCATAATATCAATGAGGTCGTTCAAATGTTGAAGAAAGAAGTCGTGAAGACACAGAGTGGAGAGCTTGAGAAGAATGGAGAGTACAGACAAATGCTCATTCAAGCAATTCATGCTTGTGCAGTTAAGTTCCCCGAAGTTGCAAGCACAGTGGTCCATCTTCTAATGGATTTCTTGGGAGATAGCAATGTGGCTTCAGCACTTGACGTGATTTCATTTGTTAGAGAGATAATAGAAACGAATCCCAAGTTGAGAGTTTCAATAATAACCAGGTTGCTAGACACGTTCTATCAGATCCGCGCTGGAAAGGTCTGCCCTTGTGCACTTTGGATTATTGGGGAGTATTGTCTATCACTTTCGGAAGTTGAGAGTGGCATTTCAACCATTAAACAATGCCTTGGGGAGTTACCGTTTTACTCTGTTTCTGAGGAATCTGAGCAAACTGAGACATCGAACAAGATTCAGCCAACTTCTTCCGCCATGGTGTCTTCTAGAAAACCTGTGATTCTTGCTGATGGAACTTACGCTACCCAAAGCGCAGCCTCTGAAACCACATTCTCCTCACCAACAGTTGTTCAGGGATCACTGGCTTCTGGAAATTTGAGAGCGCTGCTTCTAACTGGTGATTTCTTCCTTGGAGCAGTTGTTGCTTGCACACTGACTAAACTTGTTCTTAGGTTGGAAGAGGTTCAGTCATCTAAAACTGAAGTGAACAAGACAGTCACACAGGCGTTGCTGATCATGGTTTCTATGTTGCAACTTGGTCAATCTCCTGCTTCTCCACACCCTATTGATAATGATTCATATGAGAGGATTGCCTTGTGCATAAAATTGCTTTGCCATAGGAGTGATGAGATGAAAAAGATATGGCTGGAGTCCTGCCGCCAGAGTTTTGTCAAGATGATTTCTGATAAACAGCTTAGAGAGATGGCGGAACTTAAGGCAAAGACCCAAACAACTAATGCTCAACCTGATGATCTCATTGACTTCTTCCATCTAAAGAGCCGAAAGGTAACAATACTACTTTCTAAATTATCACTTGCTTCATTTTATTTTCTTTCTTGTGAATACTTTGGGAATATGTTGAGTTATACGTTGGTGTCTCATAATTATTTTTTTCATTTTCTCATCTTGGAGGAAGGGGCTGGTTATATTTTTTATTCATTTTTGTCTGCATATCAAGTTTCTGACGATAAGTTTTTTTTTTCAAGGGAATGAGTCAACTTGAGTTGGAAGACCAGGTACAAGATGACCTAAAACGTGCAACTGGAGAATTCACCAAGGACGAGAACGATGCAAACAAATTAAACCGCATTCTTCAACTCACAGGATTCAGTGATCCAGTCTATGCTGAAGCATATGTGACAGTCCATCACTATGACATCGCACTCGAAGTCACTGTTATCAACCGCACAAAGGAAACCCTTCAGAATCTGTGCTTGGAGTTAGCAACCATGGGTGATCTGAAGCTTGTTGAGCGTCCTCAAAACTATAGTCTGGCACCAGAAACAAGCATGCAGATAAAAGCAAACATCAAGGTCTCGTCCACAGAGACCGGAGTCATATTCGGGAACATCGTCTATGAGACATCAAATGTAATGGAGCGAAACGTCGTAGTACTCAACGACATACACATTGATATCATGGACTATATCTCCCCTGCTATTTGCACAGAGGTTGCATTCAGAACCATGTGGGCAGAGTTTGAATGGGAAAACAAGGTACTTCACCTGATACACTCTTTTACCATTTTCTTTGGTTTTGCTGAGTTTGGTATTAACCATTCCCGTGGTGGTCTTCATGTCAGGTTGCTGTGAACACAACGATTCAAAACGAAAGAGAATTCCTCGACCACATTATCAAATCCACGAACATGAAGTGTCTCACTGCCCCGTAAGTTCAGATTCTTACTTCTTTCCATTATAGACCGAAACTCTTGAAACTAATGGATGCTTCTCGATTTGCAGATCTGCTCTAGAAGGAGAGTGCGGATTCTTAGCAGCAAACTTATATGCAAAAAGTGTGTTTGGTGAGGATGCTCTTGTGAATGTGAGCATCGAGAAGCAAACTGATGGAGCACTGAGTGGATACATAAGGATAAGGAGCAAGACGCAAGGGATTGCTCTAAGTCTTGGGGACAAAATCACCCTCAAACAAAAGGGTAGTAGCTGAGGTTAGCTTAATAGTTATTATCTTCTTCTCAAAACTTTGAATCATCCTTCCATTTTCCGATACAATCGATATATATATATTATGTGTGGAATCCTCACGCTTCTTAACCGGGTGTATTTTCCGGTACACCATACCAATTGATTCTTACAGGCTTGGAATGGTGGCACTAGGTAACAGGTTTAGACTACGATCGTCCCTTGCTCGAGCAATCTTTTGTTGGTTGAATCTGTTTACTACGGAGGGAGGCGTTGAAAGCATATGTAAAGATTGAATTGTTGTTATCATTCCTTTACCGGTATGGTACCGATGGGTTTTTCCTCAATACGGCTGTGTGTTTTTTCTTTTTATTAATAATACATGACGATTTTGTTTTATTTGGTATGTTTTTTCTTCGTTCTATAATGTTGTTTGGGGAGATTAAACCATGATATTCATGCATTCCTTTATCTATAATAGTCTCGGAGTTGCATGTTTTTGACCCATTTTAGGCTCTAATCAAATCCAAATTGTTCTCAATATTTTAATGACCGTTTAATTTTTACATCTAAACTATTTAGATAAAGAGGAATTTACAATGACACCTATTAAAGAGGAAGTACAAAACAAAATTGTCCAAAACTAAACAGCTCAATTCAATTTTAAAAATGGTTTTTGTTAATAAAATTGCTAAATCTCTTCTTTTTTTGTCTTTTTTGCTTTCTAAATATTTTTTTTTTTACATAACTATAAAGTATAATTTTAAGTTATAATTACAATCACAAAATTATAGTATAATTTAGTAAAATACAAATTATCTTAACAAGATATTTAAATATTTTACAATTAATTGTTTAGTTTACCAAGTAAAAAAAATATATATCAAAAAATTACAACTTGATAGTTACAAAATGAACAAGATACACCGACATCATAACTCAATAACCTATAAACATAAATATGAATGTTTTTTACAACTATTATAAATATATATTTATACAAAAACATACATCCGTGCGGGTCATAATCTAGTGTATATTTAATTTGGAAAAGGCAGAAAAGTTCTGATGGATTTCCGTGAGTAAATGATTATATACAAAGCTCCATAACAAAAATACTTCAGAATCCTTTTGAACTTTTAGTTAACTATAAACCCCTAATAGTATTATTGTAAGGGCTTATTGGCGAGATAGCCAACTTTAGACCTAAATTAGTTTTCTGACATTGATTTTGACATAATGTAGTGTCTGACTTTTACGTTGTTTTCTATCCGGTTTTACCCCTTCCATCAACAGGTATCCAGTTACATGCAAATATTAAAGGACGTGGTTGTTTTCTGTGGTGAAGTTAAATAACGAAACTAATGAAGCGCGTGGGGTAATAATCCAATCCATCCGGAATGGTATAGAAAGGTATTCCATTCTATGTACATGGAATGGAATATATATTTATTTAGATACTATACCCTAATCTCCAATAAGTTAACCCTAAATCCAACAGACCCACTTAACACTATACCCTAATCACAAATAAGTTAATCCTTAACAAAATCCTAAACCAGAAAAAGCAAATAGAAGCCGAAACTTTTGATGTAAACTCCACATCAAATGGAATGGAATGCGCAAGTGTGGATGAAACCCTAAATAACATAGAAAACATCCCAAATCTGGATTTTCTATTCCATTGTGCTTGGAATGGACCAAAACCGTATGGATCTAGTTATGAAAACTATAGAATTTACATGCAATTGACAAGACAGGGGAGAAGGACGAACATGATACTAAAGCTTGAATTCAAAGGATGCAGAGAGGACACAGAGGAAGCTTCAATTGAAGTACCGGAGTAGATGGGGAAGATGAGGACACCGACGGAGACACGGATTTGGGAGAGAAGAAGACACAGTTGCTCTGATTTTGGGGGAGAAGAAAACGAAAGCTTTCTAGAGATGAAGAGGTCGGGTTGTCGATATCGGAGACGGTTCGTTTGCATAGAAGGAATTGGGAATCTTGAAACAATTGGTGGAGAGGGTTAATACACGATTTAGGGGGTGTAATCAATTAAATAATTTAAGAATTTTTTTTTTAACAATTCGAACCGGTGAAAACGATTGTTTTGGGGGAGAATATTGTAATAATATAGAAAAGTAACAGGGTGAACCTTTCCGTTAGGGTTTTTTGCTACTGGCCCAATTAATTTTTTTTCTATGGCTAAAGAGCCTAATTTCCCTTTTTGTAAGTGAGTTTTTTTTTTCTTATTGCATGCAGAAAACCGAATATCTCCATGCTGATAGCCAGAGTGTTCCGGTATGGTCCTCCGTATCTCCATGATCGGGCCGCTACAACAACAACCAATAAGAAAACTTGCACATGGGACGATGGAAGACTCTGAATGTTGTCCTACTTGTTACGATGACTTTACATTGATTTAAATCTACAAACCCACTTGATTTGGAAAGTTAACGTCACCACTTATCCTTGCATACAATAATTCCTACCTTTTGTCTCGTTGATCTGTTTTCATACAATAACAAACTTGTTTTGATAACCACAATCGTTGATTTAAAAACAAAAAGATAGCCACAATCTTCCGGTTTGTCTTCTTTCTCTGCTCATACGGAAGACAAAACAAACAAAACCAGCTAAAATTCTTTCACGTGGAATACTCTCAATGGTCATAGCCTCATAACCTTGCTTTCAACGATAGTGTTACATTTGTTTAAATCCAAAAAAATTGTGTGCCACAAAACCCACTTTCTTTGAACGTCATCAACTTCCTATTATCTTACCTATAATAATTGATACAACGACGACTAAGCTTAAGCTCATCTCTCCAAGAAAGAAAAAAATGGCTATCTTTCTCTATTTCTCATTTGTTTTCTTGCTTCTCACGTTTCTCTCGTTAATCACTATCGTGAGAAAAGCTAAAGAAACTAAAACATTGATGAATCCTCCTCCGAGTCCTCCAACTCTTCCCATATTCGGAAACTTGCACCAACTCGCAGGACTACCTCACCGTTGCTTTCACCACCTCTCCATCAAATACGGACCCGTGGTACTTCTCCATCTCGGCCTTGTTCCAGCGGTTATCATCTCCTCTAGTGAAGCAGCTGAAGAAGTTCTAAGAACCAATGACCTTGCCTGCTGCAGCAGACCAAAGACTCTCGCCACGGGGAAACTCTCTTACGGTTTCAAAGACATCAGCTTCGCGCAGTACGGAGAGTACTGGCGAGAGATGCGGAAGCTCGCGGTCATCGAGCTTTTCAGCCTTAAGAAGGTTCATTCATTCAAGAACATACGAGAGGAAGAAGTTAGATTCATGGTGAAAAAGGTTTCAGAATCAGCTCTTAAACACTCTCCTGTTGACCTAAGCAAAACCTTTTTCTCCTTAACCGCAAGCATCATTTGTAGAGTAGCTTTAGGACAGAACTTCAACGAGAGTGGGTTTGTGATTGAACAAGATAAGATCGAAGAGCTTGTACGTGAGGGTGAGGCATTGGTGGCTCTTGGTACTTTCACTTGCTCTGATTTTTTCCCTGGTGGGCTTGGGAGGTTTTTAGATTGGTTGCTTGGTGGACAAGAGAGGATAAACAAAGTGTTTGAAGATCTTGATGCCTTTTATCAGCATGTGATTGATGACCATTTGAAGCCTAAAGCAGATGGAAAGAAAGGTGTGGATTCTCAGGCCGATATTGTTGCACTCTTGTTGGATGTAATGGAGAAACAAGGGAAGAAAGATTATTTCCAGCTCAATATCAGTAATATCAAAGGAGTCCTCATGGTAATAATCTCAAATCTTAGATTCACGTTTATCGAAAATAAGATTTTCTACAATATTCACGCATATTAAAAATATAAGTATAAAGAATGTTTATAATTTAGTTTATTAATTTAAAGATTTTAAATTAATATTTTTCTAAAACTGTACAACTTATTAATGTCAATTAGTAAAAGTAACTCAAAAATCTGAAACATTTATTTTTGTAGAACACAAAAATGTAGAAAAAAAAATATATCTTTCAGAAACTAAGGAAGTATAACTAGGAATCTATTTACCATCTCCATGTGAATGCTGAGTAGTAGTAAGATGGATATTAAAACTAATTACTAGGACCAGACAACTATGCTACAACTATATAGGTCTTGATAATTTGTTTGCGTTTGATTTTAAGTGACCCTCAAGTTACCAAAAACAAAAAGATGATCGCATAACCGAACTGGATTGATCGGTTATCTGGCTCGGTTCATTAGAATCGGTTTGTCGGCATAAAGTCCTTTTTCCGATACGACGGCGTTTTATGTGACGCGCTCCATTTTTTCGCGAGAAGCCAAAATCAAAGAAACTTCATAGTTACTCATACATTAAAAGGTTGGCCGTGGTGTTAACGCGCTATAACCGAAAGTGGGCAACTTTAAAAGTGGGTTTTGGATAAGATATTTAATTGTTTTTGAAAAAATTGTTTCATATTAATGATTATATCATCAAAATGTACAAGTTGGAAATTTTACTTGAGAGTTTTGAACATTTTAAAATTTCTAATTACCTTGCTCTAGAAACAATGTTGCTACTCAAGAGTAATATAGTAGAAAGGAAGGAAAATGTTTGTGATGGTGCAAGGTTTAGGTGTAGGGATGTTAACATGGGTAATTACCCATGGGTTTACCCAAACCCATTGATAATGGGTTGTGTTTTTACCCATCTAATACTAATTGGGCTAAACATGGGTATAAAATTTTAAAATCCATATTAGATTGGGTAAATACAAGAGGGTAATGGGTACCCATGGGTTTTAATTTTATAACTATGTTTTTCACTATTTTAATATCTTTGGTTTTAATGTTTTAAATAAACCATAATTTTGTTTTTTCACTCCAAACTTAAAAAAAAAAAAGAATTTATCCGTCAGAACTGGCTTTTCCTGCAAAATCGGAAAAACGATTTTTTCGCCAAAACTGCAAGATGTTTTTCCGCCAAAACCAGAAAACATGTTTTCCCGCAAAAACGTGTTTTCCCGCCAAAAGCGCAAAAACGTGTTTTTCCACCAAAACCGGGAAAACGTGTTTTCCCAACAAAATCACAAATCGTGTTTTCCCGCCAAAACCGGAAAAACGTGTTTTCTCGACAAAACCAAAAAACGTGTTTTCCCAACAAAACCGCAAAAACGTGTTTTTCCGCCAATACCGCAAAAACGTGTTTTCCCGCCAAAACCGCAAAAACGTGTTTTTCCGCCAATACCGCAAAAACGTGTTTTCCCGCCAAAATCGCAAAAACGTGTTTTCCCGCCAAAACCGTAAAAACGTGTTTTCCCGCCAAAACCGCAAAAACTTGTTTTCCCGCCAAAACCACAAAAACGTGTTTTCCCGCCAAAACCGCAAAAACGTGTTTTCCCGCCAAAACCGGAAAAACGTGTTTTCCCGACAAAACCGCAAAAACGTGTTTTCCCGCCAAAACCGCAAAAATGTGTTTTCCCGCTAAAACCGCAAAAACGTGATTTCCCGCCAAAATCGAAAAATGTGTTTCCCGCCAATACGTGTTTTCCGCAAAACCGCGTTTTTCGTAAAATGAGTTTTCTGCAAAAAAAGAATTCCCAAAAAATTGAGTTTTTCCGATAAAATCAGAAATGCGTTTTCTCGCCAAAACCGGAAAATGAGTTTCCGGCCATACTGGAAAAACTAGTTTCTAGGAAAAAAAATTCTGCATAATCTCTTTAAAACAAATAAAATAGTAGCTTAGGTACCCATGGGTTAACCTATATCCTACTGGGTTATTTTTTTGGGTTTTAATTTAACCTTGATGTTTCTGGGTTTTCGCGGGTAGGGTATAAACTGGGTTGGGTTTTTTGTGGGTTGGGCTGGGCTGGGTTATTTTACCCATTTTAACATCCCTATTTAGGTGTGTGGGTTTACTTCGTTTAAAGTTGGTGCGTCTCTTCTTAGCTGTATGTGGATGATTCTTAAAACTAAGTACTAGGACCAGACCAGACCACTATGCTACAACTATATAGGTCTTGATCATTTGCTTGCGTTTGATTTTAAGTAACCCTCAAGTTACGAAAAACAAAAAGATCACATACAAATGCAGTCACTGACTTGATTTCTAAACCTTATTTGTTTATGTATTTGTCAGGACATATTTCTTGCAGGGGTAGATACAGGAGCTATAACCATGATATGGGCCATGACAGAACTCGTTAGAAACCCTAAAGTGATGAGAAAGGCACAAGAAGAGATCAGAACCACCCTAGGACCCAACAAGGAGAAGATCACTGAAGAAGACGTTGATAAAGTTGATTTTTTGAAGCTCATAATCAAGGAAACGTTTAGGTTACACCCAGCAGCTCCATTATTACTCCCTAGAGAGACAATGTCTCACGTCAAAATCAACGGCTACGATATACCTCCCAAAACACAAATCCATCTCAACGTATGGGCGATAGGACGTGACCCCAAGCGTTGGACCGACCCTGACAAGTTCAACCCTGAACGGTTTGCTGACAGTTCTGTAGATTTCAGAGGACAACACTATGATCTGTTGCCGTTTGGTGCTGGTAGGAGGAGTTGTCCTGGAATGCCAATGGCTGTTGCTTCAGTGGAGTTAGGATTGTTGAGTTTGCTTTACTTCTTTGATTGGGAGTTGCCTCAAGGGATGGTTAGTGAAACAGACATTGATATGGAAGAAGATGGTAATCTTACAATTGTCAAGAAACAGCCTCTTCTACTTGTTCCTGTTCGACACCATTGATGAACATTGAGCTGTCGGAAAAGCTTTATACTCTTGCGTTGTATAAGAAATAAAGTGTATGAACAACGTAATAAGAACAATATGTATAAATAATTATTGTTTGTTGTAATTGGTCATAAAATATCATTAATAAAATTAATTCAACTAATAAAAAATACAGTCTTATGTAACTGGTCATAAATGTTAATATATTAAGTTTTATCTATTATAGTGAGAACATCAGTGACACAAAAAAAAAAAAAATTAAACATCAAATCAATTGTATCAGGAAAATGATTTATTGGCTCTAAAATAGTTTGGTGATGCTGATCTGAAAGTTCATAACAGTTACAAATGAGGCACAACAACTAAGAACAAGAAACTTGCTGATCTTCTAGTTATAACATTAAATAGAATAATCTTAACTCTCTTGGCCCCCTTAACATGAGATAAAATGAAACTAAGAAGCTATACCTGATTGACAGTATTTATATACGTATAAAAATAGTACATCTGCTTCCCAGGATCTGAAAAAGCAGACACAATATGATCACAACAGAACATGGCTTCTTCAATCAGACAACAGCGGAAGTAGTGCGTCTAAGGTCAACATCATTCTTGAGTTTCTCACTAGGCGGTGTTCCTTTAAAACTCCCATATCTCATAGGCTTAGGTATGTAAAGAGAGCTGAGCATCTTCTCCAAAGCCACCACAGTGTATCTCACATACTTGCTTGAACTAGCATCTTTCTCAACCAACGGTCCATAGTTTTGCATATAGCTTCTGTAAACAGGCACAACAGCCTGGACAATCTGTTGACAAACTCTATCCCTCAAATCTTTTTCAGGAACAACCCATGTAGACTGCTTCTTATACATCTCATCAAACGCATCATTAAAAGACTTCAATCTCTTCTTGACAAGATCACGAGCAGTGGCATGTCCACCAGAGAAGAGTATAAGCCCTTCTCTACTCAAATGGCTTGGAAGCTTACCCCAGCTGTCTCTGAGAAAGACAGTAGCGTAGTACTCTTTGTACTGATCATGTTCTTTCAGCCATGGATCTCCCAACTGATCTCCAATCCTCGTACCTTTTAAGTTCTTGTATAGATGCCAGTGATTGTTCATGCTGAAGAAATGAGCAAGTGTTTGATCCGGATAAGCTTTCATCCATGCATCCATATTCTGCTCAATCATTTTGATTATTCTTAGAACCTCAACCATAAGCTGATTCTCTTGGAACCTTTCAGATCTCCAGCTTTTATGTATAAGCAGAACTTGAGTAAGAGTTGATTTATACTTATCTCCTATAAGTTTATTGCAGTAGTCAGTTACAAAACTAACTAGTCTAGGAACACCACCGTCGCTAGGAGGAGGGATTTGCTTCTGAATCTCTACCTGAACCAAAAGCTCCCAGAAGATCTCAGCTGCACCATCTATTAGCTTCTTGATGAGATCCCTTGTGAAGTTTTGGATCTCAATACAAGCTGCTCCACCGAATAGACGGTTGAAATCTGCTCTCAGCTTGTTCAAAGAAGTGAAGATGTCTAACAGCTTCAAAAGCTTGATTGGATCTTTCTTGCTATCAGTGACGGTTTTACCAAACTGTAGAAACGCGAGCATACCGGCTTGAGCAGCAATCTTGGAGAAGCAATCCATCCACACATTGGAACCGAATCTCTCAAACACATCGTTACAAAGTTTAAACTCTGCTTCAAACAGATGCTTAACCGCAAACTCTAAATGATTCCCCCACTGAGCTATGTAGCCTTCTATGCTCTGCACGTCGTTGAACTCATTAACAGAGATGTCTAGATACTCCAAGTCAAGTGCTTGAAGACTAGCTCTAACGTTTGAGCTCCTCACTTCCACGTATATCGAAACACATTTCTCAAGTCTGTTATTCGCTCTGAGTCTCCCAAGAATGGCTTGCAGTTTATGGATCACAGTCACAGGCAACTGAGAAGGCGCAATGCAAGGTTGATCACCTAACGATGATGGAGACGCCATTGGAAGTGGGACACTATTGTCCTGTAACAGCCTCCTGAACTCATTCTCCAGCTTATCCAAAGCAGCTTCCTTAAGCCCACCGTCAAGACAAGCTTTGTCTTGAAACTCCCTAAGCCCTCTCAAAGACTTCTTCAAACTCGAAAGATACTTCTCATCAGCAACACTATGATCTTCCAAATACTCAACGATATCCTCCAACCACTGAATAGCTAACCCGCAATTCTCCCCTAAAAACCTCAACGCTTCCTCTAACCTTTTCAAAACCGATAAATAACCGGAGAGGTCGTTCTTGGGATCTGATAACAAAGACTTCTCAAGTCCATGGACAGCGTCAAACACTTTAAGCACTGCAGCTGCAGGACCAACGGCTCTGTTAATGTGACCACCAACAGCAACTAGAGCTTCTCTATCTGCTCTTATAGGCCTCACAGCAGCTTCAAGGGAAGGTAATCTCTGCTCAATATCTTCAAACCTAGGACCGGTTTTCCCTAACGCTAAACCAATGGCTTTGGACTTCTCTAGACTCGATTTTAAAGAGTTTCTTGCGGATATTAAGCTCTGAATCCCTCTATCCACACCAGCAGGTTCCGCCATTATTAATAAGGTTCCAAACTTTACTCCTAATAAAAATGAAAACTTTATCACTCTTTCTTCTTTTTTTTTCTTATAAATCAAACCAAACACACAGAAACTAGTTAGCAGTAAGCAAACAAACAAAACCCAGATACAGAAATTTCCACAGCTACCAAGCAACCATTGAAAGGAGGTTACTTTTCTTTTACCAAAAAAAAAGGAGGTTACTTTATAAACTGAGACAACAGAAGTTGGAAGAGATCAAGTTGAGATAAGGTTTAGAAGAGTTGATCCGGTAAGAAAAGAGAGAGTTTTGACGGAGGAATCGAAACGGTAGGAGTTTCGTTTCTCCAGAGAGAGATACCCAGAAAATTAAGAAAAGCGAGATTAAGAGAAAAAGGAAATTGAAAAGAGAAAAACGATTTTTCGACGGTTTTATTTTATTTTATTTTTTGTATTGCGATGTTCGACGGAAACTGCCAAAGTGCATGACAGTCGAGCACAAGGTTAACACTCGCGACTTGGGTTAAAAAAATATTTTAGTAAATAATTCTTTTTTTTTGTTGTCAACAAATAATTCATAAACTAATCAAAATGATATGATACCTTAACTTTTTGTTTTATAATTGTTTTCTTTTAATGCTTTTACTGGTGATAAAATATGCTTGATTTGTGATTTACTTTAAGAATATTTTCTGTAAAATGTTCTCAGTTTTTACGAATCTTTCTTTTTCGTTTTTGTCATAGATTTTCTAGATTAATTTCGTACAGACTTTTCAGCATCTGCTTTTAATGTCAGTTTACCATATTCAACAGGTAACGTAGGAGTTTAGGCCCCAATAAAATCACTTGTACCTTCGAAACATAAATGTCTAAGATGTCACCAAAAAGTTCCCAAATAAATTTTACGTTGACCAATCTTTTATAGTAAAACTGTTAAAAGCAAAATTCATCTTTGAAAGCAGTTAAAAGCTCAGGAACTATATCTTAAAACAGTAGTAGCCGAGAAAAATAAAATGCTAATATTGCGATTTAACTATGAGATATTTGTATATTAGTGTTTAGGTATACCTGGTACATAATCTAACTTGTAGCTAAGTTTGTTTATTCTAAAAAAATATGATTGGTCCAGCCACTAGATTTCAGGTTTAAGATTATGTTTAGTACTGTATTCTGTTTTTACAGCGAGATTGTATTTACTTTATTTATCTGTTATATATGACTAGGGTATATAGTTGAATCATCTTTTATGTGTGACTTCGTCTTGGCTTTCAACTATGACATATCTGGGCTACAGACTACAGAGAAATGTTTGGAAAGATGTATATTTTCCACCTCTTGTTTAGCAGAAATAAGCAGTGGTTAGTTAGATTGGCTGTTACAAAAAAAAAAAAATTAACTAGATTGGTTAATGCGAAAATCATAAATTGAAGCTAAGTCCAACTGTGTTACATGTGGTTTGTCTAGACTCTATTACCTCGCTTCATGATGAATTTTACATAGGAGAGTTGCTTTAGACTTTAGAGTCAACTCCCAAAGTTAATTAATACCTTTTGATACAAAAAGTTAAATTAATACCTTAAACAGCATATATTAGGCTTATGTATTGGGTTTGATAGCTTTACTTGGGCTTGTCGACTAGTACATGATGCGATGTAGCCCATGGTTTTAAGTCTAAGTATGTCTTTCTTTTCACTATCAAAGATGTGTACAAAGCCTTTGGTTTTGAAAGATTTTGAGAGAACAGGAACATTTGTCGATACATAAAAGACTTACAAGCTCTCAGAGAACATTTGTCGCTACATAAAAGGCTTCCAAGCTCTCTGAGAATCTCAAGCGAGTATTTTCGTACCACATAATTTGGTATGGTCGTATTTATATATATTATCGTGTATCTTTAATTATTTTTGTTGGTGGGGCAAAGTTTTGGTGGTCTTTGATTTTACCTTCCCAACAAGAAACTGAAACTTTGTCCCACTAAAAACTCATACCCTTTAACATTGCGATAATTTGTCCATCTCTAACATTGTTAACATCGTGCCAAAGTGTTTGTTTTATCATTTATGGATCAATGTAGGATTATATAATATTACTTCATTATAAACACAAAAGCATAAATATATGTGATAAATGAGAATTTGAGAAGAAAAAATTGATAATAAATTATTTTTGTAAAAGGGGAAAAAAATGTCAAACGAAACTTCGTCCAAGAAGCTCAACGCCTCGACGGCATTAAGTAATATAGTTGACCCTTAACTTGTCTTGAACCCACATAAGATAATAAATTAAATTCACATTTATTAAAAAAACCTCAAGTTATACGTGAGTTCAACACCCAAATCCACCTAACTGATCATTAATTACTCTTTGACTTTCAATCATTCACCTATAGTCAACTTTACATTTAAAATTTTCCCAACATCCACCAATATATATATATAGATATAAAAACAAAACAATGAATAATTGAAAAAATGAAGAACATAAGTCCATAATCAATATTATTGGTGCGCAATTAATTCCATAACCACTACCTTATACTCGTATCTACTGATTGTCTAATCTTATATTTATAACGCACTACAAGATTATTTTATAAAAATATACTCCACCGGAGATTAACTTTTTCTAATTAAAATATTTTCATAACAAAATTTACAAATCATTCCACCTAATACTCAGAAAAAAAAAACAATACAAGACAAAATCATGCTGAGGCAAACACCAAATCATTAACGCCTGAAGAAGAAACATTATTTTGCATTCCAGATTGTTTGTGATGGTGCTCTCCTTCGTAAGTCACGATAAGCATTGCTGGATCATCCAAAGCTCGTTCCACATGTTTTCTCGCTGGACATCCTCTAAATGTACTACACTTGTAGTAACCACTGAATCATAACAAAAAAACAAACATCGTTAGATCTCTAGAAAGTGTATTTAAACATAACAAACATCAACGGTAGATACTACAAAAAATGTAAATAGATAGTTACCGTGGGTGTGGCGAGCCTTTGATCGGTTTTTGACCGTACTTCCTCCAAGAAAACTCGTCCGGTGGAATATCTGCGATCTTTGAACTTATCGCCGGTACCCTCACAGTTCTCTTCATCCGATTTTTTCTGCTTTAATAAATAAATAAAAGTATTAATTAACGAAAATTTATTTCTTTGTAACATGCGATGACTAGCTAAAAATAAGCTGCGTGCATCAGGGGTTTAAAAAGTCAACTCTCTAGTCATTGTCGGCTTGCCATAACAAATAATATTAAAACAACCAAGCCGATAACCGGTAAATTATACTAAACCGGGAATAATCCACCTAATTAATTAAATAATAGTCAACTAAGCCTTAAAGCGACAGGTGGGTGACGTAACAATACCTTTTCTTACAATGGCACTTGCCGTATCCGGAGATCTTGCCGGAAAAATCCTGAGAGTGCTCATGCTCGATGCATCTTTTTCTATAAGGATGACCAGCCAACGGCGGCTTACCGGAGGATGTGACAGGCTGCGACGGAGCAAACATTGAAGATCCCTTAGACACGCTTCCGTCGCCGGTCAACGCCGACGACATAAAGGAAGAGCTTAAAGAAACGCTGAAGTTTTCCTTGGAGAACTCGAGCTCGGAGCTGTTAGATTTGGATCCGAAGATGGTTGGTTTAGTGAAGTCTAGTGTTACGCTCGGCCTTGAGGGAGTTACAATAACCGGAGGGAGACTCGTTGTTGCTCTCGCCGGAGGCTGAGGAACAACCGGAGCTTCAGATTGAGCGGTTTTTACGATCTGACTCTGTTGTACCGGAGTTGAGTGAACCGGTCCGCGTCTAAACCGGGCGTGACCAGTACGGTTAAGGAGAGAAATAACGGTTTTGAATTTGGAAACGGTGAAGTCAGTGATCTCAGAGCAGTCAACGTTGTTTTTGTGTTGTGTCGGACTGTTAGAGAGGACGCGAATCAGATGTTCCATACTCTGTAGACCTTGCGATGCAGCTTCCTGAATAGCCTTTTGATCATCCATCTTAGGGAAACGCATTAGATCAACGGCCATGATGAGCTGCTCACTGTTATAGCTTCTTTGGTTTTGTTTCTCTTGAGGAGATGAGAGGAACGTTGAAGATGAGAGAGAGGAGGGGATGAGAAGATAGAGGGGGTGATGGCGTGATATATGGGGAAAGGAGGTGACCGGGTCAGGTTGTGTGATTAAAAGTCAACTGGTAAGGTTTTTTGATCTAACGGTTGTGATTGAGTTGAGTCTTTCCATGGAATAAAGCAATCAAAGTTTGGTCTCCTCCTCAAGTTCGAGGTTACTTGACCCCACAAGGCATCTTGCATTTTTATCGTTTCTTTCAAATCTTATATATTAAAAAAGAAGTCATGACTTCACTTCATGTGTGATATTTTAAAATGAACCATCTAATAGAATTTAAGACATTACATTATTCAATCATTAATAATATTCATTAGATTCACTAATAACATTTATTGGGCTTACTATAAATTTTTATTGGGCTAATAAAATTTAGATGATCCATTGGATTTATAGATATTATAATAAAATATATGTTTAAATTAAACTTATATAATTTAATATTATAACAATATAAGTTAATTATCTATAGATTTTTGATGTTAACTTTAAAAATTATATAGTTTATTTTTAAAAATAACAAAATCATCATTTTCTAACAATAAATAATCTATACTATATAATAATTAATCATCATTTTTGATATACACACTTTATATAATATATAACAATTTAGAAGTAAAAAAAAATGTTTATATAAAAATAAATGAAAATAAATACCCGCGCGGTTGCGCGGATTGAGATCTAGTTAAAGTTATTTCCGAAACGAAAACCATATTACTCCATCTTTATAATTATTTAACAAAATATAAATAAAATCACTCAAGTTTTCGTATTTATTATAAATTTGTTATAAAAGGTGAAAAACTATTGCTTAATCAAACGTATGGAAGTTTCTACAAATTTTATAAAATTGTCAATGTTTCATTCACATACAAAAGTAAGTAAAAATAGTACAAATTACAAAATGATGATCAAATGTCAACATAATTCACACTCAATGGAGAGAAGAGACCCAGCTGGATTTTGGTTGAGACAAGAAGGTGGGAGTTGTCAAGGTGACATAGAAGAATTATTAAAAAATAATAATTGACACATTTGACTTCTTAAGTTTTTATTATATTTTATGTTTGCTCCATTTTGAATCTTCTTTATTTTAAAAAAATTTTACGGACTCAAGTTATTGTCAACCATAGTTTTACAATTAACTATAATTCATTAAATTCATTAATTCGTTAGGTTGCCTGTATAGTTTGATGACTCTGTTAAATTGTTTTCAAAACAAATACTCTGGTTTAAGACTTTTACATCTCAACAACAGACATTTAACTATTATTATTGCCAAATACTCCATTCAAAGGATTTTTTGGTATCATTCTAGAAACCTACTAGAAACCCTCTCATTTTACATTGTGTCACTGTGGTAAGCCAAGCCTTTATTAACCTATTATTGCCCTAAATATCTACATATATTTGGAAATGACTAATACTCTTTCTATTTTTTTTTTTTAACACCATACTCTTTTTAATTAAGTACTATCAATACTGGTTGGTTATTGGTTTTAAAATTCTACTAGACAGCTGACAATTGAAGAGGTGACTATTTTAAATTAAAGTAATATTAGCTGACGAATAAAAATAGAAATAAAGTAGTACTATAAAAAGAACAAGATTATTATTATCTCTTTACCATTGACTATCTCGGAAACCGGGTGGTCCCCGTTAACTCTATATGAACCCTCAGATTTTTCTAAAGGTTGATCCGACGGTGGATCTGGGAATCTACTGTTGACTATGATTATGATTTTATTAACCTACAAAATCTCCAGCCAGCTATTTGGTTCCCCTCACGTATCCATTTTGTAATGTATTATTTGCCTTCCATAAATATTAAATTTTTAAAGTTTCCACACATACTAAAAAATGCATTAATTTTTTATTTAATGGAATAGAGGGAGTATCATATATGAAACAGCCCTCTTAAAAAAAAAAAAAAAATAATAGTTGTCTCATTTTTTTAAAAACGAAGCGAAAGCCAAAGGCCAAAACAAAAATAAAAAGGGAAAGAATAGAATTGAAACAAAATAGAAAGTAGGAAAAAAATAATGATTTTTTTTTTTTTGAATATTACAAACTACACAGAACTAAAAATACATTGTTACCAGTTCCTTAACTACATAGGTCTATTGCATAAGATTGAGTTGTTTGTGAATGCGATTCTCTTTCGGTCGGTTAAGGAAAAATATACGACTTTTTTCACAACGAGACGACTAGCTATGTGAACAGAAGCACAGAACGTGTGATTGACGCAGAACAAACCATGAGATGTTATTTAAAACACCAATTTTGTCAACGATTAAATTATAACATGGGGTACTTGACCCGACACGCTGTACTATTATTGTCTTGCGTCGATCATCTACGCATACAATTACACATTGGAATGCAAGAAATGTAAAATTTGTGTATATAGATGAAAATGAATATGTACACAGCCAAACTAAAATTCAATATTCATTTACGTAGATCTAACTGTTTGAAACTTAAAATTTATATATACGTTTAGATGTTTGTTTTAGTGATGAGGAAACATGTAAGTGAATTAATTTAAGATAAAAGTTGTTAACGAGATTCATTTCCTCTAACTTATGTGTTTGGGATAATGCTCCATTAATATAAACAGGAGAATTCCAGCATTACTCACAGATAAATAATAAGAGATGTCTATCAGTGGTGATGTATAATTATTCTTTATGGGGCAAATTACATATAAACTTAAAACATGGCTAAAATATGTAATTAAGCAGGGAAAATAACTAAAACTTGGGGGTATATTATGCAGATTTTGAAAAAATAATGGTGGCACTTACCACCTCCTTCGCTTACCTACATCCACCACTGCTGTCTACTGAACTTAACACGTAGGTTATTCAAAATTAGATTAGCTATGAGTTGAATTCCACCCGAGTCTACACATAAACCATGCAAAACTCCCAATACATGTAAGTTTCACACACAACTATCTCACCCCGATTTGTTCACGAACACTATCGCGGTCTCAATCACGTCTTCTCGAAACCAAACGACACCAACATATATTCTCAACAGCAATCAAAGCACATATACTTTCGTGTTGTTTTCCCTTGGTTCATCCTCGAAAGAGAAAAAAAACATGTAATAAAAAGGCCCACGACCATTATCCATTTATCTTCTTATCTATTAAAGATTCCCTCCAAAGTTTGCTCACATGCTTTGATCTTATGTGTTCCTGCTACTGATTAATTTTGTTCCAACAGTTTTGTAATTCACGTTAGTTTTAAGATAGATATATACATCATAATTTCATAAAAATCTCTTTTACTAATTTTACAATTGTAGCTCTCGTCGAACAGAACGCAAAACTCAGTGTACACTTATAATCTTCTAACATGTATTTAAACTCTATACTTGATCATCTATACAATTAAGTTTTCGACATATAGGAAAACCATCCTCTCTTTTTTTATAATCCCATTTCATAATTAAGCAAGTTTTCATAACCAGCAGGCAGTGGCGGAGCCAGGATGGTTTTGTAGTGGGGGCAGAAACAGTTTAATCTCCAAAATTAATGGGTTCATAATAACAAAACATAATCAATTTACTAGATATTAGCTAAACATTCAGCCAAATAAATTAAAATCTACAAATGAGCTGGGGTCAAGTGACCCCCCTAACCATAGCATAGCTCCGCCCCTGCCAGCAGGTAAAGGAATCATGTTCGTTTGTATGTCTTAAATATCATGCACTTATCAATTCTTATACGATGCGATCGAAGCTTCTTATTTCCAATACAGTATTTAATTACTTTAAGATACTAATTGAACAGAGCACCGTATTTTATCTTATTCTAGCATGAGTTAGTGGAGAATTTTTAAATATGAAAACCAAACATAACGTTTTATTAAATAACTATAAAATAATTAATAACTTCGCGCATATATAATCTACACTATGGTTATTGTTATTGATTCGAATGGAACCCGTCACTAATGATTCTAGGGGGAGATTTGGGCCCTGGTTTTTATATTTACGAAGAAGTCAACGTAAAGATAATAATAGACATGAATTTATTCTGTGAACACTAGCAAAATGTCCACACTGATTTAACACGCATTTGAAAAATGAATGGCTCTTATCTTACCATTTACATTTTGACTAGAAATACTAAATTTTTGTTTGTGCTACCCATATTCTCATTGGCAATACTAAGACTGAACATTTTACCCATTAAATTTGATTCGATTTGTTATTCATTTAGATTTGATCATAAAATTCTAAATATCCGTAAACTTACGAAGCAAAACAAATGCTGAAATCAATATTCGTTAAAATCGAAACAAATCACAAATATTAAAATTTTGGAAAGCGAATATCCACTCCGATCCAACATTATATAAATACATATATATCTTGATTATATTTAAAGTTTTAAATTTATAAAATTATATAATTACATATGATTTGACAAATTCTATTCATATTATTATTTATATAAAAGTATTATATAAAAAGAAGAGAAAAACGTATGATAATTATATTTTTCTCTTAAATTTTATGTTATTATAATTGTTAACTAATTTTTAGAAATCTACAAAGTATGTAGATTCACTAGTGCTTTTAGTTTTAATTTTATATTTTATGCAAAAAAAATTTTACAGAATAAATTTGTATCGAATTAAGATTATTTTAATTAATCAAAACGAAGGAGGCATCCGTAAGTATTTGTAAATATCCACAAATATCTATTTATTTTTTGGATATTCATTTTTTCGAAGCAAAGAAAATAAAAAAATTAGATATCCGTAACAGATAATTTTAAAAATCTGGATATCCGATCCGTGTCCACTTATCACTGCATGGTTTTTTCATTAACTCGTTAGAAACAAAAAAAAACTAACTAGCTGCAGACTATTATTTGTTTTTTCGGATATATTATTGACCACGCATGATTATACTTAACACATGCATTACCTTCTCCAGTCCTATATATGGCATGGCATGCAATGCATATTGTAGGTTTCACACAAATTAGTTTCCGTTACGATAAAACAATAATATAGACATTGAAAGAAAGAATATGTAAAAGAAAAGCTGAAATGAGAGTGGAATCCAATGTGGACTTCACGTAAATTTTAATATTCCCCATTTATGTCTTTTCTATTTATATATTTCTAACGTATATATGGATGTAACATTGGGTGTCGATTTATTTCCCGCTATATATTCCCACTCTATCTTCAAAACAAGAAGCTGCACATGGCTTGTTCATTTGGAAGCTAAAAACATATAATATATCCCGTATATTGCTTGACCAATATTACATAATTATACGAATTAATAGTCGTATCAGCCAATCAGATCTGATTCTGGTTCAACGAATTATGAAACATATGCTCCATATGCTATCATATCTGCTATATAATAAACGAAGAAGAATATATTTGCTCGCTACCAAACATATGTGATCATATCTGCTATATAATAAACAAAGAATAATATACGTAAACATATGCTCCATATGGTATCATATCAGCTATATAATAAACGAAGAAGAATAAATATCGCTATCATGCGTTGAATTAGTTTAAGAGGTCTTATCATGATGCGATGGCATTGTTATGGGCTTTGTATAAGTCGGCCCATTGGAGAAATTTTAGATTCTTCTGGGTCGGGTGAAATAACCCGACCGGAAATGATTATCCTTTCTCTGCCAATCGTTGGTTTCGTAAGCACCAACAAAAAATGGCGAGACTCTTCGTCTCTATCCCTATGCAAACAGCAGCCTTGTCGTCGTTTTCTCAGCCTCTGTTTCCGCCGACGGTGAGAAATTTCGTCGATGGAGGGACGGAGAGAATATGTCTTAACCGGAGAGTTAGACACTGTTCCGTGGTGACGCGAGCAGGGCCTAGTACGAGTAGCTACTTGCTTGCGTTCGCAATTCCCGCTACTCTTATCGCTGCCACTGTTTTCACTTCAGCCAAAATCGCTGATAAGCTTGACGAGGAATTCCTTGAGGATGTAAGATGACTGTTTCCACAAAAAAAAAAAATTCTTATACATCTTTGCTAATTCTAGTTCAGATACGACTTTGGTCTGGTTATCTTACATTAGTGTTTTCGTTGATTTAGGTTCTAAGGTTTGTCTCAGTTTCGCCTGTAATGTTGCTTGGTAGAGCGCTAATAACCACTAGTGCCATTAGCTTTGTTCTGATCCCTTTAGAAATATAATGGAACACTCTTGTATTTATTCATATAACTAACAGCATTGTGCTTATAGATTGCGTTGAACCAAGCGATAAAAGCAGCAGAAGATGGAGAGAATGCTGAAGGTGAAACCTCACTGGACGATTTGATTAAAGAACCTGTGCTTCAACGAACACGTAAACGTCCGAAGCGTGAAATTTAACCAAACACATACACACTTAATCATTCAGGATCCGATGACTGTGTAATAATATGTTGTGTTTGTACAAGGATGTAATAAGCTTGTAGTTACTGAAATTTTTATTAAAAATAATCTGATAATTTGTATAAAAAACAGATGATGAATCATGACATACTCTATTCATAGAGATGAAACAGTGACACACTTCTCAAGTTTCCAGCAGCGTCAATGTCATTTGCAAGTCATCGAGCTTTCTTCTGCGGTAAATTTGTAACACATAGAAGAAGTAGAAGGGTGTAGCTGTTATCTTTAAATCAGTTACTGAATCGTTTGGGTAATGATATGACCCGACTTAAATTGGGCTTTGAGGCCCATTTTAAGTATTCGTTTATCAAATTGTTTTGATGAACTCTTGAGAAGTTAGTGTGTAAAAGAAATTTTCTCTTCCTTTCAATTGAATCGCGTTACAGTTTTCTTTCTTTTTTTTTCCCTTTCGTTTTCAAACGAACCAAGACACAGCAGCTAAAAACGCCATTTGCGTTGGATCTAAGGAGGGAGAGAGCGACGTATAGTTGTTTCAAGCGAATTATCATCCCACGAACGAAGGAGATTTTAACGACGCGACGAGCAACTCGGCTCCTCTTCGACCGATTGAAGGTATGGTTTAGCTCAGTTTGGTTAATTTATTTCTGAAACTTGGTCCCGTATTGCGCCTTTCGGTTTAGCTTCTGTGTGTATTTTATATTGAATCTGTAGATTAGGTTTCCATTTAGTTACCGCACGATCTTGGTGCCCAAGCTTTTATTTATTTATTTTTGTTGTTGTTCAAATTGCATTTCTTACAATCCTGTGCCACTATTTTGTCGGTGCTCTGTGATATTATTACAAGTTTGTGATATTAACTTTGGATATTGCGTCATTAGAAGGTACACGCGATGGTGATCCAGACTTGGTGGTGATCCACTTAATAGCCATTGTGGGAGAAAGAGCTGAGTGTATCGAATGGACAAGAAAAAGAACCGTGGCGATCCTCTCGCTGCTGGGCGACAGAAGGTTTGTTTCACCTTTCTTCAAGCTTACCTCTATTTAGAATTTGTGTAAAATTTCTTTGTTATCAGCAAATGTCAGTGGTAATAGAGAGGATTCTACTGTTTCACTCCCTTCTTGAAAAGTGAAAAACCATCAAACAAGTAGGAAAGGTTCTGTTATGCCATCTTTTCTTCTATGTTTATAGTAAAGAAGGAACAATTGATTGACTGGTTTCTTGATACCGTGTAATTTTGATTTCTTGTCTTGTCTTGGTTCATCTCTAAGTTTGTTAACTTCATTTTCAGCTTCAACAATTTCGTCAAAAGAAGGCTGACAAAAACACTGATCATAAAAAGGACTCTAAGGGCAGTACAAGTCAAGGAAAATCCTCCAAGAAATCTGCTAAATCTGGGAAGCATGAGCCTAAACGTGAGAAAAGTGAAGAGGCAGAACCTTTGTCTGATGTGGCTGCAGGAGGAGCTTCATCTGATGTGAATATTGGTGTGGAGGTTGTTGATCCTCCACAGACTTCTGAAAATGCAGCAGCTCACAAGGATGTTTCATCATCAGAACCTGATACGTTTCAACCAGGAAGCACCACAGAAACTTCTGATAGTGGAGCTGAACAGAGAAAAGAAGTAGTGAATTCTGAAAATGATATGAGCGTATCATTATCCACGGAAGAAGAGAATGTGAAGAGTATCGACATTGGAGCGGCTGGCACTGTAGATTCTTTGACATCTGACCCTGCAGATACTGAGAAGGGAGTTACACATGACGATGCATCTATTAGTGTTGACAGAGTCTTTGCTGCTTCTGAAAATCTAGCGGAGGGGCAAGGAGTTGAAGTTGAAAGTGGGTCTGGGAATGTGGAAATGCAGCACCCGCCGTCCTCGTTGTCTGAATCTATTCCTGATGTTTCCTTGATTCGTACAAGGGGAGATCAGGTAAAAGATGTAGGTTGTTCTCTTCTTCTCTTCATGCTTCTCTTTTCAATCACTTTATTTATTTCTTTGACAGTAGTAAAGTGCATGCGTCCTTTTGCTGTATAATTCAGTTCTCATTTATTTCTGGGTTGGGGAAATGCAGGAAGACGCTGGTTCACACAAGGAACAGTTTTCTGAATCATCTGCACATGCAGATGTGGATTCGATTGCAAATGAAGAAAGGCAAACAAGCTACTCAGCCGTTGTGGATTCATCTGTTTCCCCTTCTCACTTTTCTGAGGGACCCTCAGCTACATTTGATTCAATTGAACTAGAAAAGGAAACTGGTAAAATTGGAAGCCAGCAAATTAGGGAAGCTGCAGAGCTTAATGAAGAGAAACCAGAGTCATCCATTGGTTTTCATAATAACAGAGACCACGTGCTTTCGACTGAACCTGAGGAAAGCTCTATTTCAGATGTTGCTAGTCAGCTGCAGTTGCCTGAGAGCGTCAGTATATCTGGATTATTGAGCCATGAGGAACCTTGTAAAAAGGACACATTAAATTCTTCTGGAGAAGTTTCTGCTGCTCATGTTGATGAAGGCCGCTCAGTTAGCTTTTTACAGCTTATGGATATAGTACAGGGACTTCGACAAGATGAATTTCAAGTGTTGTGCAACGCAAGAGAAGCTGCTTCCAGTACTGGGCCAGGAACAAGTTCGTTGGAGCGATTAAAAGAAGAACTATTTGTTTCGAGTACCATGGAAGATATACTCCATGTGCAACTCACAGAACAGTCTCATCTACAAAACGAGTTTGATCATCAACATAACCAATTAGAAGCTGAACTATCACAACTTCGTGCATCATATAATGCGGTGAAAGAGAGGAATGATTCTCTTGTACAGGAACTTTCAGAGTGCCAGACTAACCTCTACGCTGCTACAAGATCAAATGAGAAACTCAAGAATCAGCTTCTTGCTACAGAAACACAAGTGGAGGATTTCACTTCTAAGATGAATGAGCTCCAGCTTAGCTTAGAAAAGTCCCTGGTGGATCTATCCGAGGCGAATGAGAAGTTAATAAATCTTCAAGTGGAGAATGATACATTGGTTGCAATTATTTCTTCATGGAATGATGAGAAAAAGGAACTTTTGGAAGAAAAAGAATCCAAGAACTATGAGATTAAGCATCTTTCATCTGAGTTATGCAATTTCGAAAATTCAGCGGCTGCACTAAAGGCAGAAGTTGAGCGATTGGAAAAAACAGTTGGTCCACTGACAGATGAAAAGATAAATCTTGTCGAGGAAAAATATAATTTGTTGGGTGAGGCAGATAAGTTAAAGGAAGAATTGGCAAATTGTAAGACTTTGGTCAACTTGCAAGAAGTGGAAATTTCAAACATAAGGGAGACGCTTTCGCTGCTGAAAGGCCAGCAGACAAAGCTTGAAGAGGATAACCTGCATCTCACAGAAGAAAATGAGAAAGCACATCTAGAAGTGAGTGCATATTTGATCTCGGAGACTTATTTATTGTCTGAATATTCCGATCTTAAGGAAGGGTATTCTTTGCTGAATAATAAACTGTTGAAGTTTCAAGAGGAGAAGGAACGTTTGGTTGAGGACAATGATAAACTTACGCATGAGCTCTTTGTTCTTCAAGAGCGTATGTCTACCGAACAAGAAGAGCGGATTCGTCTAGCAGCTGAGTTAGGGGAAGCAAAAGCGCGCCTTGATAGATTGGCCGAAGAAAATACATCTCTGAGTAGCAGCATCCAGGGAGAAAAAGCTGGTATTATAGACATTAGTAATGCGGATGCTTCAAAATTGACCAATCAGGAAATATCTGAAACATCGGATAGAATTCTAGAAGTCGGGGTTACAAGCAAACAGAGTGTACCCTTTGTTGAATATACCTGCCAAAGTCCCGGGACACAGCAAACAACTTTGGAGGAGGTAATGGACGCTTCTTCTGGGTTTTCCTTCTTGAACAAGAATCTGGAGATGGGGGAGAAAGTGATTCAGAACCTTGAAGAGGCAATTAAGCAGATCCTCACCGATTCTTCATTGAGTAAGTCTAGCAATGAAGCTGACAAGCCAGAAGTATCAAAATTGATTCAGGCTTTTGAGTCAAAGGGGCAACAGAAAGAACATGAATCTGAAAAAGGACAGTTAACTGGTGATCAGCCAGATGCATTTGTCTCGGTGGATGTGCAGATTAGAAATTTGAGAGGCTTGCTTGATCAGTTTGTGCTGAATGCTAGGAAGGCTGGTATACAGTTCAATCAATTAAATGATGACCGAGCAGCAACAAATCAACGACTCGAGGAGTGTAATGTCGAGCTTGCATCTCACCAGGGTCACATCAATCTTCTGGAGACAGATTCTATTGAGAATAAGATTTCGTTTGAAGTTTTGAAAAATTATTCTTGTGAGCTGCAACACAAAAATCACGAACTAGAACTTCTCTGTGAATCATTAAAGAAGATAAATGATAGTATGGGTGTAGAAAACACGGAGCTCACCAAGAAGCTGAGTTCTTGCTTATCAAGAATTTGTGAGCTTGAAAACCAGCTGGAAAGCTTACAGAATAATTTAAGCAGCATGTTGACATCAATGGAAGAACAGTTAGTGGCCTTGCAGGATGAATCTCTAAAGGCAATGATGCTAGAACATGAATTGACATCATCAATATCTCAGTTTGGTGAGGCAGTTGTGAGACTTGATGATTGTTTACTCAGATCTGGATTTGCTGGAGCTCACATTGGCTTAGATATGACCAAGCATTTGTCAAATTCTGTTGACATGGCTGTGAAGGTGATTGACGACCTGGAGGAAAAACTAGAAGCTGCTAATGCGAAGCATGAGTCCTCCTCAAACAAATATGAGGAGTTGACGCAGAGTTTCAACACTTTGCTTGAGAAGAATGAATTGTCAACTGGTTCAATGCATAAGTTCTATGCTGACCTGACTAAACTGATTACTGAATCATGCGGGTCTGTGGAGATGGCCAAACTTATAGGTGAAAATCGTGCTGTCTCTGATCCTTTTAACGATGATTATTGTGA